CATGTAGGAGGGCCACAAGGGCCAACGTGCAACAAGCTCAGGCAAAAGTCTGGAAGCGTCAAAATTTCAACCCGAGCAGGGGCTCCTCTACAATGTGAGACATGTTTTGCTGAAGGTCTTTGTACTACACCCCGAGATTACACCCGCTGGTTGAACACGCTCCATTCAACTTCGAGCAAAACCTTGTCATTCCCAACGTCTTGTCGTTTTTAGAAGGCGTCATCCTACCGCAAAACACCTTCCTTGAATCCCTCTGTGGCACTGTCGTGGTTGTTGGCTGGTTCCCAGCATTTCATGGACGTGACGAACCGCTCATGGACTCATGGTATGACTCACTTCCCGAAAACAGATCCACATCCCTCACAAACCCGGCTGACAGGGAGGGCCCTTTTTGGAGCCACCCTAGCGTGAAGCCTTCGGCTCCCGAAGGTCTTGGTTAGATCGGTTTGCTGGTTTGGGGGCACCTCCCCCATTTGCCGGGATTTGAACTCCCCAATTTGAACTCCCAAAACGAACCCAAAGCACCAACTACCATATTGATAGACCTCAGCTTAGGGGTGCTTCTTCCTGGGTTTAGTGCTTGGAATCGGACCACCATTGGAGGGGAAAACCCCCCTCGAATGTAAATAAACTGGTTTGGTTTATTCATATGGCTGTGGGTCAAAAATATGTAGCCAAAATGGAATCCTGGTAAATAGACACATGGACTTTCAACCCTGCGGTCCAATTCCTGGTAGTTTAATTTTGACCCAATCCCGTATTCCCAGTGAACATCCCAATCCCAACTAAAATAGGTTCTAAAATGGGGGAAATCACCTGCCAACCAAAGTGGGATCCCAAAACGGCTTTGACAACCACAGCCATATGGAGTCAACATTATTCATATGGGGTCAATATTTGGCTGTGGGTCAAAAATAGGTACCCAAAATGGAACCCTGGCAAATGGAAACAATGACTAAACCCGTCCAATTCCTGTTGGTTTAAGCGTGACCCATAGCCATGTGGGGTCAACATTCCTGGGAAACAGACCATCGAGGGGCACAAAGCGGACATCCCTCCAGGCCCCCCAGCAGCGACTTCTTCTCTGTTACCTCGGCCGCTTTGAGGCGCCAAAGCGAAGACATCTACTGGTTCCTGTCTGGGAAAACCCCTTTGCTTCAATCTGCTCCCCTATTTCTAAAACGACCCCCCGAATTCAGAAAACACGTGGCTCATGGTTGTTAGCATTTTTCGGGCGATACGAGCAGTACTAGTCGTAGTAGCAGCGGAGCTAGTAGTCTGCGAGTTTACTGGTTCCGACAACGGTCCCTACTCTCCATTTAGTAGAGTCATAGGTGGTCTTTTGGAAAAATAGATGGCCCTGGTAATTGGAATGAACCATATCTAAACCAGCGCCATCGATTTTTTACCAAACTAACCTCAAAAGGACACCTATGGCCGGAGTTCTGGCTCCAAGATACACCTCCCACCAAAAGCCAACGCTCTTCCGGCCAGCTCCCCCCGGCTTCGGCCAAGCTGGCGACTGGCTGGTCGAAGTGGGCCGCCAAAGCCTGGCACGCATCGAGCCATCGGAGCCATCGGCTTGATCGGCACACGCCGGCCGAGCTTTTCGAAGCGGGCGAATGGGTGCGGCTCTTTTCTAAGTCCTCCAGTAGAGAGGTTCAACTAAGGGTACCCTTTTTTTTGTAGGCTATTTTAGTAGGGGAACCCTCCCCCAAAAAACTGGTAAAAGGGCACTACTGGGGGACCTAGTTTTGTTGAGATGTAAAAAGGGAATGAAAAAGATGGTAAAGTATTCCTGACCCAATAGAAGACAGGTTATTCCAGGAATGAGAAGAATCTGGAAAGGATGGGATCCTTCTCTTGGCATAATACTAAACCCTAAGAAATGCATTGGGGGAAAGGTAAGAGGAATAAAAAGAGAGAGAGAGAGAGATAGAGTGGACATGAGGATGAACTTAATAAGTTCTTAGTACCGAGCATCTTCTCTCCTTCAGAATGTGCCAGAAAAGATAGCAATTGTAGCTGCTAAATAAAATCCAAAATGAAAACGTGTCACAACATAATATGTCTCACGCAATCCTAGATCCACTGCAGCCTGTCCTAGAATTATTCCTGTGCTGACCCACCTATAGAAAACTTTCAGTAATAAAGATGGATGGTAAAAAGCCTGCTAAGGAATGTTGTACCAGTTGGTAAAGATATTGAAATTGCAAATCCTGCAAAATAAGTTCTTGCATCACTGCCTAAACCTGCAGTATACATATGATGTCCCCAAACAAGACTTCCAAGAAAACAAGCAAATGACATCGCAAAGGTCATTGAACAACTATTGAGATGTACACGCCTGGATGTCCAAAAACCAAAACAAATGCTGATAGGATATAGGATCTCCTCCAAACATTGAATCAAACAAAGGTGCATTACAATGAAGATCACCAAACATTAAAGGACGTGCACCAAATAAGATAGGCAATGCTAATAAAAGCGTCAAAGCTAATCAAGAAAGGGGAAGGAAACAATAGGATAGCCATTAATTTGAGATAATAAGATCTCAGATTTGAATTGTTCCCCAAAAGCTAAGAGATGCAAGACATATGAGGATATACCAGAGCTTATAAGACACTTATAATATGTCCTGTGCTTGAAGGGTGTTAACGTCAGAAAGGAAGTGGATAATGGTGATATACTGTCCATCCTGTATTAAGGGTTGGATTGAGAAAAAGATATGAAATTAAAAGAAGTATGATGGAAAAAGAACAAAAAATGACTCTAGGATATACCACTTCTGGAGATCAAGTCCTCCAAACAAGCCAGGCAGTACTAAAAAGAAGATCATAAGATTTCAAATTACACATAATAGATTTAGAAGACTTTGTGATTACAATGGTTAACTAGTGAATGAAATAACAAAGAAGAAATATAAAACATAATATATAAGTCAAGACGGTCTAGTGGTTCATTTGTATATCTCTTTCACTACATGTGACCCTCAACGTGAAAAAGGCACACCTGCTGCAAAGAAGGGCTGCCATAAATTACGTGCTTATGGTCCAGTGCTGAAGGGGGCCATGATTAATAAGGGGGTTGCATTAGAAGAGGGGCTAGCCTTGATTACCTTTAAAATAGGTGCCCAAAATCGAACCCTGGCAAAGTGGAACCAAGGACTGAAACCTGCGGTCCCCTGGTCATACCCATATGAAGCCATCGCTAACTTGGTCCTCTCTGGCTGGTCTACGGTCTTTCTCAAAGCTACCCTATTGATTAACTGACATACCTTCCTGTGCGGAGACAAGCTTCACCCATGAACTGCACCCCGTTTTGAACTGACCAAAAAGGCATCCGCCCAACGAATGAAAGCACAACTCCCTTTCCATCTGGGCCAAGATGGGGATAAAACCTCGAGCCACTGAAAAATGAAGGGCACAACCACGAACCTAAAGGAAACCACGGAGAAAACAAAAAAAACTGGAGGGAACCAGGAGGAAACCAGGAACCCGAAAAGAAACCAAGCTATACGCAACAGCGACAGGCGGGCAGGCGCGCAGGCGCGCAGAACGAACGCGCCTTGTGAATCTCTACCACTTGGCATCCTCGCTTGTCGGCCTCAGCCAAGGAAAACCAGTGCGTCTTGCCTTGGGGACATGACCCAACACACGTACATGTAAAAATATGGCCATGGGTCAAAATCCAAAGCCCGTACATTCAGTGAACATCAAACAATCCAACCACTAAAATAGGTTCTAAAATGGGTGGTGAATTCACCTACCCCAACATGGTAACATTGGTTTCGACCCACAGCCATATCTGTATATGTGCTGATCGCAGCTTCTCTCTGAACGCGGGGGCGAGGGGGGGGGGGTACCAAGCTATACAAAGTGTACATACACCAAGCTATACAAAGTGTACATACACAGCTTTTTAGGGCCCAGGAAATCATTACTATTTCCATGGCGTGGCAAAAAGCGCTCACAGAAAGTATGAACACCTTCTTACCCCCCCCCCCATCTTTTAATGGGAATGACGGGACACTCTAACTGCATGAGTGCAAATATTTTTGCGCTTCCCGTGAGGCCCGCAATCTTCATGAATCGGCAGTCGCTGTAACGGGCAAGCTCCCATTTCCAGCCACCCGACACATCCACCCAACCATCAACCTCCGCGTGAACGCTTGCAAGAAAGCAATGGCATGCGCACGAGATCTAAGAAGCCGCGCCAAGAAAACAGCCATCCGCCTGCTACATCCCGCGTCGCCGAGAACAAGCTACATCTGTGCCTTTGCGAGTTACGCAGAGATGCTACATGAGTGGATCATTGGATTTCATTGAAATCAATCAGCAATAAAAAAAAAAAATCCACCCCCCCCTCCCCCCCCAGGTCCCGCATGGCTGCCCCGCGATGAGGTGCAAGGCTTCGCTGAAGTCGGCCAAACCTGGCCGGCGCGCGAGGGCAAAAAAAGAGCCATACTGTGGATGGACGAAATCCATTTCGCACCACTTTGAAAGCATGGAAATCCATTGCTTCTTGGAATTTGCAGGGGAATCATCATTCCAGGGATTTTTAGGTGGCAGCCCTGTGATCTGTCCGGTTTTGGCGGAGTCCGGCGGCAGTACTTGTAGCATTCGTCGGCATTTCGGGAGTTGGTAGGGTGGTTTAGCGACAAAAATTTCAACAAAACAGACGTATCCCTCGTGTCGATCCACAACACAGGCCTAGACCTCAGTGACTTCTGCAAGGATACCGGATTTCACTGCAGCCAAGATACGGCAAGTTGCCCGGATTCCCTACACTTTTGTTTGAAGCGGGCGCCAACCTCAGGCCTTTTCAAGTGAGATAAGTTACCCCAAGTGGCACCTCCAAGTGGTCAAAAGCGATTCTGAGAACCCCAAATCTTGACAGTTTTTGGGACGCCCAAATCCCCAAAACGGTCCCAAAACCAGAAGCGCCGCCATCCACGTCCTCTCCGCGCTCGGCCGCTTTTCCAACGTCTTGGAGTTTCCTCACCTTTCGTCGCCCTCCGCCGACTCGACCGGTGCCTGGCCGGGCACTGCAAAGCTTCATCTGCGGGCTTGTCTATTTGGATGTGGGTCAAAACCAATGGTAGCATGTTGGGGTAGGTGAATTCACCACCCATTTTAGAACCTATTTTAGTGGTTGGATTGTTTGATGTTCAGCGTACAGGATTTTGACCCATGGCCATGTCAGCTTCCCCCAAGTTGGGGGCCTCTTAGGCTCGGGGGCTATCTTCCCACCTACCCTCTGGAGGGCTTCCAAGTTCCCAAAACCGAATCCAAATCATCCAGGGGTGCATGACTATAAGCTTACATCCCAAATTGGGATGTGCACATGGTTCTTGAGGGGAGTGGGAAACCTCCAAACATCGAACCCATGCACATATTTGGGCATCTCCTGGAACCCTCCGGCCTCCGGCCACCAAACAAACGAGCTTCCCGAGCCAAGGGCGCCCCTGCTAGGACCCTCACATGGGATTCGGGGTGTTTTGTTAGCCCTCGCTTCAATAAGACCCTCCAAGTAAAAACGGCCCTTCCCCCCCCCCCCCTACCCAAGGCAGGCCAGCCAATACCGCATTAACGTGGCCGCAAGGTTCTGCTATTCTTGGCACCCAAAACCCCTCTTGAAAACTGTCCGGCTGAAATCCATATGGAAAGAAAATGCAAAGGCTGTTGACAATCTTGCCGCAAATGCGAACACCCTCCCTGCTCTGGAAGCCGGAGAGGGGAAAAAAAGAAGAAGAAAAACAAAAGAGAAACCTGGGCACTCTCCAGCCGGGAAAAGAGATCCTGGGGGTTTCCTACCGCTGTCAAACTGGGAGGTGTCCAGTGACGACGGCCTTGCCGCTTGCCTTGTTGACCTTGAGAGGAGGGGCCAAAATTATTGCCTGGGATTAAAAACCCCCATGGGTAAGAAACGCCCAGCCAAGCAAACAGGGGTTTAGAAGCAAAGATTGACACACCAAAGGAGTCCCAAAATGATGTGTACCCCCTCCACATGAAGATGAGGTGCCCATGGACAACCTCGCCGGAGTGGAGCCGAGTGAAGACGGGCACCCACTAGATGAGCGCACATATGTACACGCATGACCATATATAGACTCACACTTTAGGATGAGGGGTTTTGCACTTTGGGGGGGGGGGAGGGGGAGGTTGGAGGAAGACCTGCAACTCACACTTTAGGATGGGGGGGTTTCGGGCTTCGAGACGACCCGAGCAAGCAGGCCAAAGACTAAAGCCAATGGGGGTCGCGGCGGCTGTGTTGCCGCACGGGACGCAGCCGGCGGGCCATCATAGCGCTCCCAGCGAACTGTTTCATTCTCAAACCGCTGGCACGTCCGCAACAAAAGCCGCATTGTTCTTTGCAGCCCGCTGGAAATCAACCAACTGAGGAAAATCAAAGCAACTGCCTGGCAATTGTCCCCACAAATCGGTTTTAGAGCCTTGCAGGAAAACATGTGGGGTTGAACTTGGCTGCTTCGCGCCACAGTTTGCGGCAGAAAATCAATCTTTGGGTTGATGTCCCCACTTCAAACAGGAGTACCACAAGAAAACAGATCGGAAAACGAACACTAACCTGGAAGCTCCCAGGCACATTAACCTGGAAGCCCAAAGCAAGGGTCCTTTCCGCTCTCAGCTCATGTGAAGAAATATATACACATACTGTTGCACAGCCCCACGGACAAAGAGTCCCCAACAGATGGGATGAATGCAAAAAAAGACTCTGAAAACTGAGGGATGCAGTGCTGCCTACCTGGCGCCAAGTGCAAGGATTTTTTGCTCCAGTGGTATGTTGGCACAAAAAACGCGGCGATTCTCCCTGCAAAACCGCCAGGTTGAGGTTGGGGCGCGTGGCCTGCCGCCGGCGCTTGGCTTCCAGCGCCTCGCGTCGCAAGTTTGCCGCCTGGGGGGGGGGGGGGTGGGCTGGGATTGGATTTTCCGCTTCCCAACGAAGCTGATGGATCCTGGGCTGTCCATTTTCAGATCCCCCGCGAAAAGTGACTAACGTGTAGTGGGTGAAATGGAAACTAGCACTAAACACTAAAAGGCTAAGAAGCTAAGGGGATGGCTGGGAACCACCACGGATTGGATTCAAGGATTGGATTGGTGGCTAGGGGGGTTGAACCCCCTTTTGGCTTCACAAAGGGAAGACCCAGCCCCCTCGGGGGCTGGAAAAGCCCAAGCTGCGCAGAAATGAGCAAAGCTCCAAGCTTCGTTGAAATTCTCCCAACCATAGGTGGCCTTTTGGAAAAATAGATGGTGCTATGGAATAAACCCCATCTAAACCAGCTATCTTTTAAGCAAACCAACCAGAAAGGACACCTATGCTCCCAACCCAAAGCCAAGCGCCCCTGAAAGCAACCAGCCCCCCCCCCCCTTTCCCCCGGACTCCTGCTGCTTCTCTTCGAGCGAGGGGCAGAGGCTGCGCCTAAGGCGTTTCCATCCCTGGAAACTCCAAAACGTCTCAAAGTCTAAGCTGGGTTGCTGTTGCCCCCCCTGCAAAAAGTGAATCACTTTTGGGGGGTTTAGTGGAAAACCCAACTTGATTTCCCAAAAAGTTAAAGTCTAAAGATCCAACCCAATAGCAGTTAAGTAAGAACATGGCCAGTAAACTGCCAAGTAAACAAGCCTTTTTGTTGTGAGACCAAAGGCACCATTGCCAAGTGATTTTTTCCCACGGGTCTGGTCTAACTGGCCAACAACACCTGCCCCCTTCGGCCAAAGAAAGGGGCCAGATCCTTTCTTGCAAGGCCTTCTGAACACGTACCGTTTGGCTGCCCGCCATGGAAGTGCCCTGGATGCTCTTCCGCAAACTTCCGCGCCTGGGAAGGTCACGATATGGGTTTTGTGCTGGATGAAACGGCGCGCGGCTCGCTCGCAGGTTGCTTTGTGGGGCTTTCCCGGGGTCCAAACTTCCTGCCGGTTCTCAGCAGGGAATGAGAAATGAAATGACACCTATAAACAATGCCCAGGTTCTTTCAAGGGAAACCCTCGCTTCATTCAAAACCCTGACGCAGCCATCCCCTACCGAATGTTGACCCCATATTCATCACTTTTTATTGGGGGGGCGGGGGAAGGGGGCGTCCCTTGCAAGGGCCCAAACACCACCCCCCAAAAAAAAAACATAAACTGGTTAGTTGAAACTCATATGGGGCCAACGTTATATATATATATGTAATATACTAATCACCACCTATTATTCAAAATGATTCCAACAGTATATGAAACACCAAATAACCCCCGACAACAATTCTCACAAACACAAATTCCCACATCAAGAAACAAAAAAAAGCAGCAGCCAGTGTCTCCTTCGCCTCCGGGCGCCCGGCTCCAGCAGCGGCACGTGGCGCTTCGCCTTCGCCACCTTCGCCCCGCCCTCCGCGCCGGGGCCCTCGGCGCCTTCCGCGAGGCAGCGCATCACCGCGCCCAGGCGCCGGTGCCGCTCCAGCATCGCGCGGAAGGGGTCCTGTCTGGGAACGCCTCAACTGGCGGGGGGCCGGGGGACGAGGGCGTAAAGAATCGGCCTTCCCAGGTCCCCGGACCTAGCACAAGGCTCCCCCAGTTTCTAAGGCGTTCCAGGGGTGCCGGTCGGGTCGGGTACCCCGAGCCGACGACGGGTCAGCAACCCCGAGAAGGTCGAAATGAATACCGGCAAGTTTCCGGAAACATGTGTTCAGGAAGCTTAATAGTTGTTTTCCAGAAGCATGCTGGCTTCAGGAAACTAATTTTGCTTTTCAGCTATAAATTTCGTGAAAGGCTACCTCTGAAAGGGTTGTTGCCGAATTCGTGATACCACCCAGTCTTTCCCGCAACCATTTCCTGACACCGCCAAACCTTTCCTGAATCCACCGGCCAGTTTTTCATGAAACATGCCAGCCTTTCCTGATACCACACAACCCTTCCTAAAACCACCCAGCCTTTCCTGAAACCGCCACCCAGCCTGCAACCACACAGCCTTTCCTGAAACCCCGCCTATCCTGAAACCAAACAGCCTCGCCGGAAACCACACAGTCTTCCTGAAACCACCCGGCACCTCCTGAAACCTCAAAGCCTCTCCTGAAAGCACCCAGTCTTTCCTGAAACCACCAACCAATCTTTCATGAACCCCCAACACGCAGCCTTTCCTAAAACAACCCAGTCTTCCTAAAACCACCCGGCACCTCCTGAAACCACCCGCCTTTCCTGATTGGGCTTCCCGTACTTCCCAACATCATGGGGCGGGCCGCCGCCCCCCCGACCCCCCGCTGTGTTTTTAGATTAAGCGTACCTTTGTTTGAATCATCACCCTTCCCAACATCATGGGGGGGGCGGCAGCCCCCCGACCCAAACCTAATCCTAAATGAACCCTGAATGAACCCCCGAAGCTGGCCCTAAACCTGACCAAAACCAAACCTAAAACCAACCCTAAACCAAACCTAAACCAAACCTAAAACATCCTAAAACCAAACCTAAACCAAACCTAAAACCACACCTAAATCAACCCTAAGGGAGCCCTAAACAAACCCTAAACCTCACCTAAATCAACCCTTAACCATCAGACTTCCAACATCATATGCGACACACACTTTCGTGAAACCCCACAGCCTCGCCGGAAACCACGCGACACCTCCTGAAACCACGCAGCCTTTCCTGAAACCACGCAGCTTTTCCTGAAACCACGCAGCTTCTCCTGGAACCACCCCAGACTTTCCTGACACCACCAAACCTCTCCTGAAACCACTTCCTGAAACAACCACCCAGCCTGTCTCCACAGAACCTCTCCTGAAACCACCTAGTCTTTCCTGAAGCCACCCGGCACCTCCTTTCCTGAATCCATACACACTTCCGTGAAACCACACAGCCTCGCTCAGCCTTTTCTGAAACCACCCAGCACCTCCTGAGACCACACACCCTTTCCTGAAACCGTCCAGTCTTTCCTGAAACCACCAATCACTCTTTCATGAACCGCCCCAGCCTTTCCTGCAACCACAGACCTCTAAACCAACCCTAAACCGACCCTAAACCGACCGTAAACCGACCCTAAACCAATCCTAAACCAACCCAAACCCACCCTCAAACAACCCTAAAGCCGCCCTAAAACAACCCTAAACCGACCCTAAACCAACCCTAAACCAACCCTAAACCAACCCTAAACCAAACCTAAACCGACCCTAAACCAACCCTAAACCGACCCTAAACCGACCCTAAACCGACCCTAAACCGACCCTAAACCAACCCTAAACCAACCCTAAACCAACCCTAAACCAACCCTAAACCGACCCTAAGCCGACCCTAAACCGACCCTAAACCGACCCTAAACCGAACGTAAACCAACCCTAAACCAACCCTAAAACAACCCTAAACCGACCCTAAACCGATCTAAACCAACCCTAAACCAACCCTAAACCAACCCTAAACCAACCCTAAACCGACCCTAAACCGACCCTAAACCAATCCTAAACCGACCCTAAACCAACCCTCAAACAACCCTAAAACCGCCCTAAACCGACCCTAAACCGAACGTAAACCAACCCTAAACCAACCCTAAACCAACCCTAAAACAACCCTAAACCGACCCGAAACCGACCCTAAACCGACCCTAAACCAATCCTAAACCAACCCAAACCAACCCTCAAACAACCCTAAAACCGCCCTAAAACCACCCTAAACCGACCCTAAACCGACCCTAAACCAACCCTAAACCAACCCTAAACCAACCCTAAAACAACCTCTAAAACCACCTAAACCAAACCTAAAACCAACCCTAAACCAAACCTAAACCAAACCTAAAACCACACCTAAATCAACCCTAAGGGAGCCTTAAACAAACCCTAAACCTCACCTAAATCAACCCTTAACCATCAGACTTCCAACATCATATGCGACACACACTTTCGTGAAACCCTGAGCCTCGCCGGAAACCACACGACACCTCCTGAAACCACGCAGCCTTTCCTTAAACCACGCAGCTTTTGATGAAACCACGCAGCTTCACCCCAGACTTTCCTGACACCAACAAACCTCTCCTGAAACCCAGCCTGAAGCCACACAGCCTCTGCTGAAACCACCTAGTCTTTCCTGAAACCACCCGGCACCTCCTTTCCTAAATTCATACACACTTCCGTGAAACCACACAGCCTCACTCAGCCTTTTCTGAAACCACCCAGCACCTCCTGAAACCACACAGCCTTTCCTGAAACCGTCCAGTCTTTCCTGAAACCACCAATCACTCTTTCATGAACCGCCCCAGCCTTTCCTGCAACCACAGACCTCTAAACCAACCCTAAACCGACCCCAAACAAAAACCAACCCTAAACCAACCCTAAACCAAACCGACCCTAAACTAAACCAACCCTAAACCACCCTAAACCAACCCTAAACCAACCCTAAACCAACCCTAAACCGACCCTAAACCGACCCTAAACCAACCCTAAACCAACCCTAAACCAACCCTAAACCAACCCTAAACCAACCCTAAACCGACCCTAAACCGACCCTAAACCGACCCTAAACCGACCCTAAACCAACCCTAAACCAACCCTAAAACAACCTCTAAAACCACCTAAACCAAACCTAAAACCAACCCTAAACCAAACCTAAAACCACACCTAAATCAACCCTAAGGGAGCCTTAAACAAACCCTAAACCTCACCTAAATCAACCCTTAACCATCAGACTTCCAACATCATATGCGACACGCACTTTCGTGAACCCCCACAGCCTCGCCGGAAACCACACGACACCTCCTGAAACCACGCAGCCTTTCCTGAAACCACGCAGCTTTTCCTGAAACCACGCAGCTTCTCCTGGAACCACCCCAGACTTTCCTGACACCACCAAACCTCTCCTGAAACCACTTCCTGAAACAACCACCCAGCCTGAAGCCACACAGCCTATCCTGAAACCACCTAGTCTTTCCTGAAACCACCCAGCACCTCCTTTCCTAAATTCATACACACTTCCGTGAAACCACACAGCCTCGCTCAGCCTTTTCTGAAACCACCCAGCCGTTCCTGAAATCGCACAGCCTCCCCTGAAACCAGCACCCAGTCTTTCCTGCAACTACACAGCCTTCCCGGAAACCACGCAGCCTTTCCTGGAGCCACCCCAGACTTTCCTGACACCACCACACCTTTCCTGAAACCACCACCCAGTCTTTCATGAAACACATAGCCTTTCCTGGAACCACCCAGGCTTTCCTGAAACAACCCGGCACCTCCTGAAACCACCCAGCCTTTCCTGAAACCATACATACTTTCGTGAAACGACTGGCAGCCAGGTCAAGGTGCCACCAACACTAGGTACCTGACCCGTGGTAGCCGACCCAGGTATCTGACTAAACCCTCCCAGGACCTGACCCGACCAACTCCCGGCGTTCCAGGTCCGAGCCAGGGGGTTCCCTCCATATTTCCACTTTCCAAGGCCCTTGTGAAGTGCCCAATCGGGAAAAACAAAAAAACGAAACACTGACCTGCCCTACAGGCCCTACACCAGGCGGAAATTCGCCGGGAACTCAGAGCTCCAAGGCTTGGTGATTCCCCCAGCTCGGTTAAACCACTGCCCGACTGTGGATGGACGAAATCCATTTCGCAGCACCCAAGAAACCCTGGTTTCTGTTGATTCCCCTGCAATGTACCAACAGACAATGGTTTAGACGAAATGGATTTCGTCCATCCACAGTGCATTGCCGTCTTGTGGGCATAAAGACCCTAACACTTGGGGGGGTCTTTGCAGGTTGCAAATTTGAAATGGACCTTTGGCCGTTTGTCGTTATACCTCCCAAAAGGCAGCCCCTTACTTTGGCGGGGGACAACACACATTTTGCCCAAGGCGGTGCAAGCTCCAAACCTTTGGCGAAAGCGGTAAGGGTGCAGGAACAAAGCTGAGTTCGAATCCAAAAAACCTAGGTCCTCCAGTAGAGGGGTTAGAATAAAGGTACGCCCCCCTCCAAAAAAGCGCGCGACCCGTCGCAGGACCCAAAGCCCGAAGCTCCTCCGCACTGCTGCAGGGCACGCTGAGGCCAGGCGAACCTGGCTGTTGGGGGGGGGGGGGCCATAGAAAATGCGGCGACATCTGTCCGCACAAAAATCACTCACCTTTTTAGTGGATTGGCAAAAAAAAACATGTTTGTCTCTTGCCGCTATTGTCTTCCAAGAAAGTGTCAAAGTGTCGGAATTCAATTCGAGAGACCCAGGAGGGATCCACAAGCTGTGTGTGCACTTACTTGGCCAGTGGTTTCCCACGAGGGCAAAGGCGTGCCTTGTTCGAACATACTGTGGATGGACGAAATCCTGCACCACCTAAGAAACCCTGGAATGATGATTCCATTGTAAATACCATCAAACAATGGTTTCCCATGGTTTCAAAGTGGTGCAGGATTTCGTCCATCCACAGCATTGTTTGTTCCATGGGATTTGATTGGATATCTGTTCAGGAAAGCGGTTCTTTTCGATCCCACCTTTGTCTCCGGCCCGTTGGCTCCGTTGCCTTCGGAGCAGGTGCAGGGGCTTCTGCGGTGCTTGTTTGTTCTGTTTTAGAGATGTTCAGTATTTGGCTGTGGCTCAAATAAATGTACCAAAATGGCACCTGGGCAAATGGAACCAAAGACTAAAACCTGCGGTTTGCCCTAGGTCTTCAATTTTGAGCCACGCCCATTTGGTCTGTGTTCAATCCCGAACCCAAGATTGAAATACAACCATTTTTGTCTTTGCTCGCGAGAAGGGTCGCTTCCATGAAGGTTGGTGGGTAGACCCGACCAACAAAAAAACATGCTCCGGTTCGGTGGTGGGGCCATATGTTCCCCTCAAAAATGGGCAACTCCGGGGTCCGGCTTCATATCGATTTCACAAACCTTTGGACAAACAAGCCGATGTTTTGACAAAAAAAGTGACCCCAAAATGCAACCCTTTTCGCCCCATTCCGAGGACTGAAAAGCAGAACTGCTGCGATACCCTGGTCAAAGCGGGATATGGCTGTTTTTGGGTGACCAGTGTACGAACACCTGTTAGCAAAGTCCCCGACCATCTAAGAAAGCATTCCCTGGTGCCCGTTGAACCCACATGTTTGGCTTTTCTCATCGCGCCCGGCTGGAGAGGAATCCTGTGTTGCCGGCTGCTTGTGCAACCAAGTTCTGCACCATCTCACAGTTCACTCATACCATCTAAATCTCTCTCTTGGGGGGCTTCTCCACTAAACACGGATAGGTGTTTCTTTGGTAACACAGATGGCTGCAAGAATGGCATTGGCAAGACCCATCTAAGCCAAACACTCAGCCGCCATGTTGACATGTTGACCCCAAGGGCCTCGCCTGCATTCGGGGGCGGCCAGCTGGGGGCGAAAGGCACCTCGTGGAACCCGCAGTCCCGCAGCACCTGGAGAAATGGGAAAAGGATCATAGACAAAGCCCACCTCGAAATATATATATATAAGTACATAAGAAAATACAAGGGAATCATAAAAAATACATGCTTAGAATAAAATGTCTGAAAGAAAGAATAAACAAGTGGATAAATGGTACATAAATGAAGTAATAACAAAAATAATAAACATACGGATGGATAGATAGGGACCACAGAAACCCGTCCCCCCACATGACTGCGGCTGCGGGGTTCCTGAGAAGTGTTTTTTGGCCAAAAATTCCATCGCCAGGGTTCGGATGTTCCGCGGGTTTCAAAAAGCCAAACATTGCCAGACTTTTGCCTCAGCTTTTTCCCTGTGTCCCCTTGGGACCGGCCAGTGGGCCAGACTTTTGCTGGGCTTTTTCGGCTTGAACACCCAGCCGACGCTGGCTGTGCTTTGGCGTGGCTTGGAAGGGTTTTGGCTTGGTGGCTAAGGGTGGCCCTCAAGGCTTGAGAGCTTCAGGGGGATACCTGAAGCTTCTGGACCAGGGCTGTGGGGAATGACCACTGTAATACCACAAAAAGGGCTTCCCAAAGACTACCTTGTTCACATAAAGGGGGATTCCCTTGTATCACAGAAGTGGGGAGAAACCCCTTGATCCCACAACCCGTTCTGGACATTCCACGGGCAGTGGGACAAAACCCGCTTCTTTGTGAATCTCCTGGAGAATGTCCCAGGGCTGGTCTCTGTTGAAATGGGGCAAGATACTATAACCGACAAAAAACCGAAATAAAGAATCCTACAGCAAAAAGGACCTTCATCATGGGTGAGCTCGGCTACATGACGACTGTCCTTGATACTTTGCTAGCCATGTGCCCCTGGGTCCATGAAATTCCTCTGGCAAACTTAAGTCTACCCTTTCTTTCATTTCATGGGGTATATTGCAAGCGCACCCGTTTTCCCCCCAGTGGTGGAATCCACGATCAATAAACCCCTGCCTGGCAGATTGAAGGCAACGCCTTCCCATGTTACACGGAGACTCTACTAGTTTGAGGAACCCGCCGAAATTGATAGACAAGTACCAAAATAAATAAATAAAAAGGGGAACCACCCTTGATTAGCATAGTCCTCCGGACTGGTCCTAAGTCAACATTTGTTCTCCCCCAGCTTCTACTTTCCGGGATCATGAAGTGGGCTTGTCTCAAAATAAGGGATCCCCTAAAATGATGGGTGTCCTTTGGGATTTCCTTTGAGCCAACCAAAAGAGGGCTACCCGAACCACACCCACGTACAGCTAGGACTTCGAAACATGCAAACCGAGGTGCCAAGCCAGACTCATCCGCCAAGTCGTACCTAGGCCAAAGCGGACCTCACCATTGGGCCTGCCGACGAATCGCGTGCTTAGCCAAAGAATAAAGAAGAACAAAACGCAAAGGCATGATAAGTCCCCGTCTCCTGTGAGTGATAGCCAGGGTTAGTGGTCACGTTTGGTGTTTCAACATGGCAGAATCCCAGAATTGCTGGTTTCCTGCTTTTCCTTTAAACCCACCCCCGAAAAATCGATTTTTTGTACTTTGGTCTGGGAGGAATCGCCTGAAGGCCTTGGGGTACAAATTCCGCTATGTGGGTCAAGGGGATGACTAGACCAACATGGAAATTGCTGCGTCACCCCGCGTCACCCAACAATTCGTTGCCATGATGGGTGTATAACCCGTAAGGGGGAAATACTACGGCTCCATTTGGGTTCCCATCCACGCTGGAACACGCTCCTTGCCGGGAACTAGTCCAGCTGCTTGATTTTTCCTCGATCCAGGTCCCCCCTCAAAAGTGGGAGAAAAGCGGGAGACCCAAAAAAGACACGACTCATATCACTCGGACTTGGGTGACACCTGACACCGGGCCATGGGGATTCCGAATTCTCCTCAAATCCCTCCGCCCCGGCCGCTCCGCCCCGGGGCCCCGTGGCAAGGGCTTCCGCGGCCGCCTCTCCACGTCCAGCAGCGCCGAAACCAGCTCCGGGCCCTCGAGGCCTTTGGCTCTGCATGGAAAATGTCCAAAGTCCTCATTACGAAGAATGGGATGTCATTCCCACAAACCATGCTTTGCTGGGGCACCAGAAAACCATGTTGACCAGAAATCATTGAGGGTTGACTTTCTCCAGTTCCTTCCCAAACGTTGGGCACAATGACCCTGCTTCATTGACTCCCTCTCAAAAAGTTGACCCATATCAGGGGTTCAGCCGTGTTGGTCGAGTCAGGGTTGTGGCCTGTGTCGTTGCCAAAGTCAGCCCCCAACCACTCAAAAACTCCCCCAACAATCATCAAGGAGGCCCCCTGTTTTGTAGGGATGCTCTCCTCTTACTCCGTGATGAATAGCTGGGGGCTTTTTATTCAGGCGCCAGCAAACCACGTGTTTTTCGGGCCTGAATTTGGATTTTCCCAAGCTCTAAAAGTTGGCCGTGGGCAACTATGCGCTTTCAACAACCGTAGCTTAAACCTAGGCATGTCGTTCTTTGGGGCGGTACCTTTCTTGGGATGGTTCAAAGGCAAGTCGAAAGGCCGCCCGCCATTTTGGAGCGGCTCCCCTAGTTGAAGACACCCCCACATACTGTGGATGGACGAAATCCATTTTGCACCACTTTGAAACCATGGTTGAAACCATTGTTTGTTACAATGGAATCATGAGAAACCAGGGTTTCTTAGGTGGCGGAGGGTTTCGTCCATCCACATATTTCAGCCATTTTTGGAGCGGTTCCCCGAGTTGAAGACCCCCCCCCCCCCCCAACATATTTCGACCCAAGGCTAGCCCCCACCCAATTTGTTCCTTGCGCGCGTGCCTTTGCCCACCAGCAGCAGCACGGCCGCCATGCACCGCACCTCAGTGGCGACAAGCTGCAAGCTTTTTCCGTCGGGGAGGGGAAAGAAAAATCGTCTGGCCATGCCGAAAAACGGGGGAACTGCAACTGGGAAGGACTTCTATTAGGTCCTCCAGTAGGGAGGGTAGAATAAGGGTACCCTGTTTTCTGCAGTCGATTTTAGTAGGGGAACCCTCCCCAAAAAGATGGTAAAAGGGCACTACTGGGAAACCTAGTCTACTCTTTACGGAAAAGAGAAATGGTCACCTTCGGCCGGAAGGGCAGACATCGCTGCGCCAGAGAGGACCAGGGGAACTTCAACTGGGAAGGACTTCTACTTGCAAATTGGGATGAGATGAGCGCTGGAGGAAAGCCAAGAGGCTTTCCATTCAGGGAAGGTCGTACAATGGGGGGCACCCCTTTGGCTTGAAAGGGAAACCCAAGAAGATGCCGTCCGATTCGGGGGGTCCCCCAATTTTGAGGCAAATCCATTCGGGAACGTGGATGTGATTTTCTTCAAGCCAACAGGGCTTTGGAGACCTGCGCAAAAGCCTCCTCCTTAAGCAATGGAAGCAAGGAACGTGGGCAGATGGGGGGTAGGTAGGTACTTGACGACCCATCGGTGGCAAACGCCCTACGCCTGGGTCCGGCTCGCTCTTCAATGCGGACATAATTACCCCGATTGGGGGTAAGATGTTGTGAGCGCCGAACAGAGCCAAAACTCTCCTGTGCATTTGGAAGGGCCCAAAACGCTTTGGCCCTTCCAAACCCCGGACAAGACGAACCTCTCGATTTTTGGGCAGCCAAAAAACCAACAAAAACATGGCAGTGGGTGAAAACAAGGTACCCAAAATGGGTTGCCCTGGCAAATGGAACCAAAGACATTCCAACCTGCGGTCCAATTCCTGGCGGCTTTAATTTAATTTTGACCCAATCCCGTATTCCCAGTGAACATCCCAATCCCCACCAAAATAGGTTCTAAAATGGGTGGTGAATTCACCTACCAACCAAAATGGGATCCCAAAACGGCTTTGACAACCACACACGGAAATATATAGACATATATATATATATATATATAAAAACAAAAAAATGAACCGCCCGAGTTTCAAAGCCCCGTCCCCCCGTCCCCCACCCCCCCGCCTGGTGCCACAAGAAGGCCACGCCCGTCACCGCGAACTCCGCCACGCCCTCCTGGCGAACGTACGATGCGTATCCTCGGCACCCTGTGCGGGTGGCTCCAGTTTTGGGGACCTGTTTTTGTTGTGCTTTTCGTTCTTTGCTTTTGTGTGTGTGTGTGTGTGTGTGGTGTTTGTCTTTTTTGTGTTTCTTTTCTTTTTTCTTTTTCCTTTTTTTTTGGGGGGGGGGCGGGGTGGGGTTGTGTTGTTTTGTCTGCTTGTTTGTTTTTGTTTGTGTGTTTCTTTGTTTTCTCTCTCTCTTTTTTTGGGGGGGGACCTTCTGAAAGGGAAACCAAAAGGACACCGAAGCCATTTCTTGGTGGTGTAACGACCTCTCTGCAAACAAGTGATCAACTTGTTGTGGGTCCAATGTAAAATCCACTTCCTAAAAGTTAAAGTCCAAAGATCCAACCAAATAGCCACAAATAGTTTTGGAAAAAGACGGAAAAAGGGGGGGGGGGGGAACAGACACAAAAAAAGAAGAGAAAAACAAAAGCAGACGAGCCATTGGAACCCAAGGCCCCTTTTCGAGTACCGCACGCACCCGAAGTCCTCGGGCTCCATGTTTTGCGGGCATTTGGTCGCTCCGAGCCTTCTATCCGAAGCCATGTGGACCCCTCTTGTGGGCGCCGCAACATGTGTTTTGATTTGTTGGGGGGGGGGGGCATGTTCCTGGTTGATTCCTCTTCCATTCTTTTCAGCCATCGTTCTTTTCAAAACCCAGCCATTTCCCCGGGGTTTTGTTGTTTTCTAGAAAGAAGGATCCCTGGAAAGAATGGGCAAGTTACCCCCAGCTTGTTGATGCGGCATTGCAGGGCTCGAATCCCGATTTCCCCACAATCAGCGCATCGGTGCCATAGAGAACATGGGCAACTGAATGGGACCCCTGATTTATGAAGGGAAACTCCGCGAATCTAGTGAATCCCCAGATTTGTGCAAGAAACCGAGTGCCGTTGCCTTTTGAAATCACCCTCCACTTCTTGCAGGAAAAAAGCCAGGAGAAAAAGGGCATGTTTCTTTGTTCCCCTCCCCCACCTCCCGAGTTGTTTTCCACCAACTCCTCGAAGTGGCGCACGGACACCGACAAGACCCGGCGACGGAAGTTGGAGATGTTCTCCACGTCCATCTTGCCTCGGACCAAAGCCGAGTGACCTTTGTCTGTCAAGGGAAACACCCATAAAAGACGTAATTCCACCAGCCAAACCAACCCAACCAACCAACCGAACCGACCAAACCAATCCCAATGAAGCAAACCAAAAAAGGTGAGAAAGGCCTTTAGGCCTTTCTAGGGTAAGTTCAGTCGATGAAAAGCAAAACAAAAATGATTGCAACTTTACCAAGGCGATTTGGTTCAGGTGCCTAAAGTACCCAAAGCCACATAGGATGTTGTTGTTTTTCGAAAGACCTTTTTCAACTCTTGGTGAGCAAGGGTATCCTTCGTTTAGGGGGTTCCCATGTTGGTTTGGAGGCATTCCCGTGAATTTACAGGCCGAAGTAGTGCTGTGCCGGGCTTAGAGTCTGTACAGTCAGCTGAGGGAAAGTCATGTGTATCAAGGGGTACCCCTTTCGCCTAGCCTGGGGTAAATGAGCCCTTTCAAGGCTTTCCGATGATCTTTTTTTTGGTTTTTTGGCCAAGGACCCCGAAATAGAAAGCACGAACACCTAGTTCAACTGAACGTTCGAAAGGCACAGCGCGAAGCAACGAGCAGACCCCAACCGCCCAAGTTGGTGAATGAGCTCCTGGACCAACGGATCGGCCGAAGCTTCCGGTTGGATTCTGCATTTCCGCCGAAAGGCATCCAGCTTGGGAAAAAGTTCGAAAAGAAGGACCTGAAGACAGGGGCCTTCTTTTAAGCTCCAACTAAAGGTAAGATGAAACCAAGGACCTGAAGCAAGGGGGTCCTGGTACACCCCAACTTAAAAATTAGATCCTTGTTTTCGGACCTTCTGTGGTGCATTAAAATTTGTTGAGGCTGCGGCAGAAGTTCCGGAAGTCGTGCTCGCCCACAAAGTGGCTGGCGGCCTCCTGCATCCGCTCCAGATCCTCCCCGGCGTAGGGGAAGTAGTACCTCCAGGAGGGAAGGGACGTGGATTCTGGCCTCATGAATGTTAACCCCGGATTAATCAACCCCTGCTTGATTTTGATTGGGGGGTGTCCCCTTTTAGTGGTTGGATTCAGACCACGTTGGGAGGGAACACCCCCCTAGTGGGACGGGTTTATTAATCCTGGGTCAACATTATGCTACCATTATCAAAGTTCACCCCCTAAGTGGTGGGCTAAAGGGAAACCATCCCGGGTTCTGACTTTGAAAACCCTTAGAAACGGTCAAAATCATGGCCCCAGTTGATCCCTCTGCAAATCATAAGGCGGAGTTCCCCTGGCGACGTGATTTTCCGCTTGCCCACCAAGCGAAACCACCTTAACGGAAGTAGACACCCACTGCGCATTCATTCGGCTACTGGGATTGGGGCCTCATGTTTACCCTGGAGTACCCTCAAAGTTATTGTGCCGCTTGTGAGCGATTCCCTCTGACACCGATTAGTTATCTAGAGGGGTTGTGTCAGCTATTTTTAATGTCAACCCCTGATTAATAAACCCTCCACTGATTTATAAGGGGGGCCCTAAGCCCAGCTTGCGAACCGCTGCTAACCCAGGCCCTTGCCACCTTCCGTGGCGCGGAGTATCGGGGCCACAGAAAATCATAGGAGAGGACCAAGCCTTTGCAGCCGAAACAAAAACAACCTCCCCAGTCCGTGCGAACACGAGGTCACTCCCGGGGGTGGGCAAAACAGCTCTCTAAAGTCGCTTTGAGAATCCCGCCCAAAAACAAAAGTTCCGACTTCCTGTCCATGTGTGCCAGCCCACTGTCGTGTCCTTTGAAAACACAAGCTAAATACCCAGAAAAAAAAGGCTCCCTGCATTTCCCATGTACACATCACCTCACTCAAAGGAAACACGCTAAACCACAGGGGAAGTATAGACAGTCCTGCAACATCCGGCGGACTTGGGCCCTTTAGCTGGACAACGCCCAGGACGCGTGCTTCCACTTTAAAGCACCGCCCAAATGGAAGCCCTGCTTCTTGGACATGCGGCCAAGGTCTGGCTTGCCCTGGGCACCAACAAAGGTGCCCACCTAGGCCATGGCTGAAACAGGGTTGCCCAATTTGTGTTTTTGGGAGAGGGCCTGCTGTCATGCAAAGAAAGCAGCGGCTGTAGGTGTTGTGTCTCCAAGCGAATCGACCTCTCCAGCTTCCAGCCAGGCAAAGAACTGCGAGGGATCCTGCAGTGCTGAGGGGTTCGTGGACTGGCGAAGGCCATGTTCAGAAACGTTTGGCATCCCATGTTCAAACCCGGGGCAGTTTTCCCCCACTGACGCTGTGGATGGACGAAATCCTGCACCACTTTGAATTGAAACCATTGTTGGCTGGTATTTACAAGGGAATCATCATTCCAGGGTAGGTGGTGCAGGATTTTGTCCATCCACAGCACGAAACCTGAAGATGGAGATTCCGCTCTTCCCCCCCGAACCCACGGCGCTGGTAGGCGCGGTAGAGGCAGCTGAAGCGAGCGTCGAAGCCCTCAGGCGCTCTGGCCGCCGCCAAGATCCTGAGCTCTGTTGGGCGACGCCACAAGTCGGACACCGCGGTTGTTGACATGTCCAAACTGTTGGCGTAAACGTCCTCATTTGGCTGTGGTTGTCAAAACCGTTTTGGGATCCCAATTTGGGGTAGGTGAATTCACCACCCATTTTAGAACCTATTTTAGTGGGGATTGGGATGTTCACTGGGGTACGGGATTTTGACCCATGGCCATTTGTTCCCTCGAGTGTGAGCAAGCACATATGGCCTAAATGGGGCTCGCGGGAAACGTGCAACAAAATGTAGACAACTATGCGTGAAATTAAGCAGTGAAAGCAACGTATACCTGGGTGCATGCTGTGCATATGCATGTACATATGTACATACATCACCTGCGCATCCATCCCACCAGTCTGGATTTTGTGTGTGGGTATTTATCTTTGGGGGTGCTCCCGGCTTTCAGTCGCCAGTCCAGACGGGGTCCTGGCCCGCAACCAGGGAAGCAGGATCGGGGGAAATGATTTGAGGATTTCACAGGGTTCCACCCCAGGCCCTCCCAGCATGGAACAAAGAGGCCGGAGAAACCGGCATCCAAGCACAGGAAGAGCACCTCCTTCAGGTCAAAAGCAACGCTCCGCCATTCCTTCAAGCTGCCCTGGCTTTGCCGGAGGCGAAGGAACCTGTTCCTCGCCCGGAACGATTCCACCAAGAGCCGTCGCGGCTGATCTCACCAGCTCCAGTGTTTTTTTGTCATCGCGGTCTCCGCGCCATGAATTGCCGTGCTGAGGCTACGCATCCTGTACAAGGACCATTTGGACATGGGGTGCAGCTCAGCTGGGAAGGTAACCAGGGGAAGCCAATCAAAGGCCAAAGGAAAACGCTTGTCACAATTAGAAACCCAAACGGGCAAGAAGAAGTGCCTTGTGCAAAATGTGCAAGGACCTACCGGCCAGCATGAAGGAAACAAGGCACGAGAAACAGAGACAAAAGAGACACACTGACACCAAGGCAGGGAGGCATAGAGAGGCAGAGACCAGAGCTCTAGACCTTCGCTTCCAGCCCAGGCCCTCCCGACTTTCGTCAAGGGTCCGGATATCTGGCGGCAGCACGCCGTTGAGGATGCTGGGATAGTCAAAGCCCTGCACCAAACAGCTTGGTCTCACTTGCCCAAAGGACCTGGAAATGAAAAGCTCACCTGTTGGCACCTCTGCTAAAAGTGGAACAAAAGGGGAAAACCAAAAGGTCAAAGGTTGGCTTTGGGCAACTGAGCGGTCCCAAGGGTGGCCGGCTGCTCAACCTGCCCGAGATGCCGCGCCTCCCCGTCGGGTTTCAAGCGCAAGTTCAGGGCGATGTAATTGCCAGCGGCATGCACGCCCTGCAGTTGAGCCAAGGTCAAATGTCAAGCCATGGGACGAGGGAGACAAAATCCAAGAGAGTAGAAAAGAGTCTGAGGCGTTGGTCTGATCCCAGCCCGGTAACCCGAAAGGTGCGAAAGAATTTATTTGAAACCGGTTTGGCTGCTTAACCATGTGCTGGGGAACCCAGCGAACGAGCAGGGGAAACAGGTCACTGCCGCTCCGAAGCAACCTGCCGTCAGGTGCTAGCCTTAGGCAGATTTCTAGGGGTTGACAGGGGGCAATCGAACGAGAAGCAAAGAACAATGGCCAAAGCACTCGAACAGCCCTGCGTCCTAGGTAGTCCCTTGCTCCGGGCAAAACATGATTTCGAGGAACAATGCGCAAAAGATGCGGCAGAGTGCAACATAGAGCGTGCAAGTTTTTTGAGCGAAATGAGAGGAGACAAGAGCGGAGCGAAGGGCGGAGAGAAGAGGGGAGCGAAGACGGGGCAGAAGAGCGGAGAGAAGAGCTGAGTCAATGGTGAAAAGAAGGGCAGAGAGAAGAGCGAGAAAGAGGGAGAGAAGATTTCAGGGAAAAGTCGAGCCAGCAAAAGAAAGCCATCTTCTGAAACGAAAACGCAATATGATATCAAGCGAGAGGACCCTGATCAGCACAAGAGGCTGCCAGTTGCAAGTTTCTTTTGGTAGGAAAAGAGTACAGGTGACCAGTTGAATTATCCAACCTGTGTTTGCACCTGCTTTCCCAACTGGTGACCTATATCTTCATTGCTGACGGGCCTGATTTTGGTGGTCCCAAAAGCCAATGTCCCAGCGATTGATTCTCGTCCTATTTTCATGTTTCTATCATCTCTTTTCAGGGATTTTGTTGGTGGTTTATGGAGATAAGAATCCCTGGAACTGAACGAATGGTTAGAAATTACCACTGAAACCCCTAAAATGGTGGGGTGCCTTTCGGTTTCCCTGCAGAACGGCACACATCTGCATGCATAGATTCCTCAACTGGTTATCAGGTTGCCCTTGGCCACTCACAGCAGGCGGCCACCTACATCTCACTTGTCCACAACCATGCATCTCACCTCGGTTCCTGGTGAGAAGCTGGTCGACCAACTCGTGGACCAAAGGGGCAAAACGGATGCTGAACTGGGACAAAAAACAAATGGGAAGCCTGATCACAGCCCCTCTGAAAAGCCTCAAACATCCCAGGCGTCACTGAACAATTGGGCCCCAAAGTGCCGTTCTCGCCTTGTCCGTGCGCCCGCAGCGCGAGAAGTTGCAGCTCTGGCGGTCCTCGCAGGTACGCGCGGCTCATGAGGCGCCAACTTGGGGCACCTCAAAGTTTAGGGGCAATAGCACAGGGTTGCTCAAAAGTCAATGGCACAAGGGATCAGGCTGACTCTTAGCAAAGCTTTTGCCCCTGTTGTCTTCAGGGGCACCTTGTTGACTTCCAGAAGGTGCCGCGGGGAAAACGAACACCCTTTGTGGTTTGAAAAGTGTCCCGCCTGCAACCCGCTCCCAGTGGGAGATGTCAAAAACTAGATTGGGGAGGCTAGTGGCTGCAGCTGATTCCATTCCCAAGCTGATTGGGTGAGGATACCCCGTCCTCCATCCCTACATCTTCCCTTAAAACATCGCCCTCACCAAAGGGAACTCACCTCAAAAACAAAAAAAAAGACAAGGGAAAAAAAACATGAGCGCCCCAACAGGTCGCCCTGACCTGGATCAGCCGCGTCTTCAGCAGCGCCTCGAAAAGCGCCGCCTCCACGGTGGGGCAAATCTGCGGCTCCTCTGCGCGGGGTTTGCTTCGACATCTCCCCCCGAAATGCCCCCTCACCATGCTGTAATGCGATCACCCACCCCAAGGTTCCCATTGAGTGGGTGCCGCACCAAGACACATTTCCTGACATGAGAAAAGCCACCATACCCATTTTCGGATAAAGCGCGCGGCATTGTCCACGTTGCCATCTGAAAAAGAGTTCCTTAACTGGTCTCTTCACCGGGTGTCTTCCATGTGTGGGAAGACAAGTGGGGTGGATGGATCCAATCCGCGCCAGGCACCAGTTGGGATGGATGAAACTTCACTTGAATACTGGTTGGACAAACCGGCCATCCCAACTGGTGCAGAAAATCTCATATAATATATATGTATATATATATATATATGTGTGTGTGTGTGTGTGGTGGACCATGTTGCCTTTATGCGGGCTTCTTGCGACTTTTGGCCCTAAGGAACTTACTGGTGCGGTGTGGGCCATTGCTCCATGTCCAATAACCCGGGGGGGGAGCTTCTGGGGGGATACACTCGTTGGTTTCCTCTTTTCTTCGCAGCGAATCGATCCGAGTTGGTTCACGTCTTCATCGGTGTCCTCCTAGGACCTAGGTCATTTTGGTTGCGGGTTCCAGTTTGATTTAATCCATTTGCCAGTGGAATCCGTCTTTCGTCCAAGAGGCCACAGAAGATCTCGATCCGGAAACAGCCCCCAAAGAGATGGCGCGAACAGAGGCCACCTCGCCTTTGGACCCTGAGTTCCTGGCAAAGGTAGCGCACCAGTCCACGAAACAAGGTACAGCACGCTTGCACGTTTCTGTGTTGGGCGTTGTTCTGATTGCTTTGTTGCTTGTGCTTTGTTGCCTGCGCTGTCCTCTTTGTTTCCGATTTTATTGCGTTGTTCATTGTTTTGTTGACTGTCGGAACCCCCAAAACAAACAATCGGGGTGTTCCTGTGTGTTTTCCTGCGTGAGATCCCCCCAAACCAACATGATTATTTGGATTGTCCATGTGTGTTCCTTCGAGGACCCCCCAAACAAGCAGTTCAACTCTTGGCTGGAATTAGGACCCCAGCAAAAAATAGGTTTGCCTGGTTAGTACAAAACAAAGGGGACCACAAAAAAGCGAAAAATGAAAAAGGGGAGCTAATCATGGGAGCTAATTATGGGGAAGAACTGCCTGCCTACCTCCTGCTAGGCGCCTGCCAGGCCAGGCCGTGGTAGTTGGTGCCCACGTAGGCCAGCTTGAGGACCTCGGTATCGTTTGCTTCCCCGGCCCTGCGGTGGAAGAGCCCACAAAAAGATGAGAGAAGGTTCCGTTGGTTTGCTGCTTCCTTATTTGATTTGTGCATGGTTCTGAACAATCACCCTTTCTGCCATACCAAAAGTGGGATTCCCATCCTCGTGGCTACTTGTTGTCAAATGGATTTCCCCCTTGGTATCACAGAAATTCAGAAAGCGGCAACCTAAAAGTGGTCTTCAAGGGAAAGGGTCACCTACAAACTCAGAGCCTCGAAAACCCATGCGTTGCTGCAGAGTCCTGCGGGCTCAATTGGATTCGATACCCAGCTGCACCTTGATAAGGACCAAAAAAAAAATCCAAAGAGTCAAAGAGCACTTTGGCGGCCTGGAACTTGCCGCATGGGAAGTGGCTAAGTGGTTGCTAGCCGTGGTTAGCACCCGCTTTGGGGACTTACGTCCATAGTTGGGGAGGCATAACTATGGTTGCTCACCACCTAGCTAAGTCCCAGACCATCCAAGAAAGGGGCTAAGCTGGTGCCCTCTCATTTGGGATGCAACCCACCTGTTTGGGATATACAAGCCGGATCCCGTTTGTTGGCTGGTTGGGAGGGTGGGGATGTCTTTGATGCCACTCCAATGGCTGTTTCTGGTTGGCACCCGGCTTGAGTGGCGTCACATTCAAGGCGGTACCAAAAGGAGAAACAAAAAAAAAGAGAAACTTTGAGACCTTGCGAGGAAATTCCTCTAATTTCACGCTTTGAGGTGTCAGCTTGAATTCATCTCCCAATACCCCAGACAGGGGCAAAAAAAAACGGGCACCTCTGTCAGCCAAAAAAGGGTTCAAGAATTGAATGTTTTGAAGCGGATCGCTGTGAATCTGGACCTGGAAAAGCAACCTATTGGTGGTTGTCTCCTTTCATGTTGTGAAGGGATCAAAACGTAAGACCAACCCAAAGGACATCCCCCCGACATCGATTGGGACCGCCATATTCGCCAACACGGTGCCAGTCATGGCGTTTTTTGTTTTTGATTTTTTTCTCCCACTTTTGAGAATGGTAAGATAGGTTGGACCTCTCTCGCATATCGGGTCTCGCCATCTGCCAGTTGACACCTGTGTCCCATATGCGACCTTGTGCTTCATCTAGCTGGTGCGGAGTTTTGGCAGGGCTCCCTGTTTCAGGAAACACCCTTGGCACATCCCAAGAAGCAGAAGTGTGCGATACTTCCCATGTACACCTTCCGCAATGTAAAAGGGGCTGATGATTCCCGTCCAAATGCCTACATTATTAGAGGCGCCCTTGCCCACTCGCGTGGCAACATGCTCCATGTCCCACAGCCGTGGATTTCAAAGGGGACCCACAAAGACCCGCTCGCGCCGAAAGGCGTGGCTAGATTCATTTTGCCAAAGCAAAAGTAGTCTTGGTGGTCCTAACATGCTAAGTCTGAAATATGGGGCACCCTTGCCAAGCTTGAACCGCACGGGGCTTCAAAGCCGGACTGAAACGCCTGGGCTTCCCGGCAAAGTGGGAAAAGCTCGCCTTGGACCAATCGAACTCCCGCGCTTGCCGCTTCTTCCTCGCGGGAATGCCCAAAAACCCCTGGGCCATTTCAGAAAAAATCACCTGTACCCGCTGATTTAGAGGATCCTCTTGCAAATCAGGTGATTTTTTGATGCATCCTTCAAGGAATCCTGTCCAACCCTCTTGTTTAAACAACCTCAGATGGACCGGGGCCTGATTGGCTACATGTTTACACCTCCTTCGTTTGGACAACCTGCTTTTGGTCCCTTTTCGAGCCACCGTGAGAATTTCCCCTCCCGAACCTTGCAGTTTCTTCTTCGGCCGGTTTCCATGAGACCAGTTTCTATTTTGTCTTCAACCATCACCCATTTAATGGAATCTACCCTTTAAAAAAAGGGTCAAAAAAGTGATGGTGAACCACCACCACCCCCCAGCAACAAAAGGAAATAGAGGGACCCCTGCATCTTGCACTCTATTGAACTGTTGGCTAAACCCTGGCCGCGTTTGGCAAGGTTTGAAGTCGACCCTTCCCAAATCCGAAAGGCGTTGCTTAAATCCGGGTCAATATTGAGGTTGTTCCTCGAGGAATTGTCAACCCAGAAACACCCGGGGGGCCGGGGGGGGGGGGGGGGGTTGCTTTCCATTAGCAGGGAGTGTGAGGGGTGCGAACCTTCCAACAATCCCACGCAAAAATCCAAGAGTGGTTGGTACAAAGTTCTTCCCATCATTACTTCCTGCGAACCCCCTCCCCCCCCCCCAAAAAAAAAAAAACAGGCTGTGGCGAGAAGGCAAGAAGGACTTTAATTTGACAACTGGCCTGCTCCTTCCCACAACCGTGATTCTCATTGTGAGGACCCTTGGTCTTACGGTTGGATCAAAGTGGATGGCACACTGCCCTACTTTGCTTTAGCCAACCCCTGTATTTAGCATTTACTTGCCCACATAATGAGAATTGCGCCATGTACGAATGCACTTTCACCCGCAATGAAATACTGTATCTTGTCCTTGGCCCTTGGCTGAGTTAGATCCCTCTGCGAAAACACCCCCCTCAAAATCCGCTGAACTTGCTTAAATCCAGGGCCAACATTGGGAACCGACTGCCCCATGCAATCCAAAAAGGGATCGGTTCAATCAAAGCAGATCCGTGAGTACAAATCACGGCCTGTGGGGGTTCCATGTTCGTCGCTGCAGCAGGGCACGCTTTGCATGACATAAAACAATGGTGGCAAAAAGCTGATATAACCCACATTTAGTTGGCATGTTCGCCAAAAAGGGCGATAATGCCGACTAGGTCTATCTGGAGGAGGATTACGAACGAATGATGGATGATGGCTCCCCTTTGAAGGAGGACTGTTGTCATTTTAGGGACTTCTCTGAGTAGTACGGTCCTACTGGTTTGTACCAAGTTTGCAGTATGATCGCAACATTCAAAACGGAGGGCATGACCCAGCACGTATGTAGCTGGTCTACACCGTACAACGCATTAATTTGCACAGAGTTTGCAGAGTTTGCAGCGCGATAGGTCATTTTGCGCGGGTCCAAGTCAGTTTGAGGGGCTAATTGGTACATTCCTGGCACCCTAAAACTCTGTTGATCAGTGACCGTGCTAGAAACAAGGGGGTCAAAACTTTTTGCGGGGGTCACCTCCACCTTTCGCGGGTGGCGAACACCAACAAAAACTTACCCCTTAAAACTCCAAGCCCTGGGGAAGTTAATCTTTTACAGACATATAGCCCATGTTACCCAAAAAGTTGAAAAAGTTGTGTTTTTAAGAGGTAAGAAAAAAGAGATCCGGAGGATGCGCATTGGGGGAGAAGCACCGCCCCATCTGCCCCAGCGGCTTCGGTGGCTCCGAATCCATGGCGAGATGAAGCGCCACGGGAGCGGTCGTGGTTTGTGGTTTTGGCCTCTTCTGCTTTACTTTTGGCGAGATTCAATGTGGCTTCTTCTTTCTGAGGTTGGTTTGGTGTGTGTGTTTTGTGCGCTAGGGGTTTGGAATGTTTCCTGGTTGGCTTCTGGTCGAGGTTGGGTTCTTGCAGAGGAGCAAGTTGATTCATCAACCTCTAGTAGACAGGGATTGGGGATCCGGATCGGTGGGGAAAACAAGCCCTTAGCAACCTACCACGACGACCCTCAAGATTACGCAACGGTCTTTCAAAGCGATCTTTTCGAGTCACTCGTGCTCGAATTGTCAAGGGCGTTTCTAGGGATGGGCTTTTGGAGGTATGAATGCTTGTATACCACCAATAAGCTTGTAACGAAGTGTTTACTCCTTACAAAAGTGGCATATAAAACTGCAGAGCCCATCCTTGGAAAGCCCTTGAAATTTACCCCAATCGTATCTTTCAAGGATTGCTGTGACTTGGGCAAGGCTTTCGCGTTGCAACCCTGTGTCTTCCTGCCAGGGGAGGGAAGAAAACGTGCTTGCCTTGCACAGGCCAAGCCCCAAAGCACTATGACACTCGAGCCTTATTTGGGGGCTGGCTTATCCCTCCCCCTTCTTTTCCAGTTTTGCTCTTTTCTATTTGGAGGGGGGTACCTTGGGATTCCCCTAGTGCAAAGAGAGCAGCTGGCAAGATGTCAAGGTTGTCCCTGCCATGGTGTCAAGCTTGGAGTTTGGCCGAACGCTGCCTTCTGCATCCGAAAGCTTCGGCGCGCGGTGATGGAACGAAGGTTCAGCGAGTGCGAATGCAAATGTAGGGGGAGGAGGAGGAGGAGGAGGAGGAGGCGGAGGGGGGTGCAAGAGTTTTTGAGAGACATTTCTGTGGGCATGCACTGACATTATCAATCAGAAGGACCAACAGCTAAGCACCAGCACCAGCATCAGTGACGCAACTCCGTCCGCACATGCAGGCTGAGGGGCTGTTGCCTTACACAAAGAACACCTGAGCAACTACCCTCCAATCAGCGATACTTTCCAGACAGAAAGAGCCTTGCTGCTGATAGCGGGCCATTTTGGAGCTTTGAAGGTCCCATGCCCAGGTGCGAAAGCCCCGCTTGGCCAAACCACCCCATTCATTCATCCGTCCATCCGTCCATCCATCCATCCATCCGTCCGTCCCTCCATCCGTCCAGCCACCCACCCACCCCCAGCCACCACTGCCCCCCGAAAACGCGGCGGGGGCCGCCAATCTCCCGCGAGGACTTGGGCTTCACCTGGCGCATGCGGCGCTTTCTGCGCAGAGCTGAGAGTCGTTCTGGCCAGGGCATCCATGTCAGGGCTGGTTCAGGTGAGAATGTTACCTACCGCCCTATCTACGTGTTGGTTCAGTCTCGAAAATAAAGCAGCCGATTTTCGGGGGGCCAACCATGTTGAGATAAACCCATCTCCAAACAAGAGCCCGGAACCCGCCGCACAGCTGCAGTTTCAACAACGACAAAAAGCAGCCTTTGTCAGAGGTTGATCTTCCAAGTGTTCTACCGGGTTGGCCCGAATGATCCCGTACAAAAAGTGAATCACTTTGTTGCTAGTGAGTGGAAACCTCGTGTCATCTTTCCGAGACATCGCTTATAAGAAGAAGTGGTTCAGTCGCTGGCACAATGTATGTCCCCCCAAGTTGTCTCCAAATCATCCGCGGATGGGTGGTGATGTCCGTCGCCCATGTGAGGAACATGGCTGCGCAACTTTCAAGGCCCCTCACTTTGACAGAGCCATACCTCACATTCAGAACTGCCCAGTTGGTGGTCTCTTTGAACATCTCGCATGGAGGGTCCCAACCTGTTGAGTCTAGCCCCTTGAAGCACGCCCGACTTTTCTCGAAGTAAATGTCTCAAGCTGGGGGCTTGGGATGAGTTGGGACACGCGGTGCATTGGAAGACCTTCCCAGCTGCCCAGTCACGCTACTTAGAGACCTGAAGCCCGTTTTGGGGCTGCTGATCTTCTGTCCGGAATTCGGCAAGCAAGGAAACCCTTTCTTAAGGTTGACCATTTTCTGTGGGGCGCCTTGGAGAAAAAAAAACTCACTAGCCACATGCTCGGCCGGACTTGTTTTTCTGGGGGCAGTTGGTATGCGCAAGGGGTGCGCAAGGGTTGCATGCTGCAGGGTGGTCAGTAGATCACTTGTGGGAATTGGAACACCTCTGTTTGGGTTGCCCGTCAGGAGCCACACGGGCCTCAGGAAAACACCTGGGCCACACGCACCCACGAGCAAGATGCGCATATGCCGCACTGGCCCCCTTCCTCTCATGCGGCCATGTTCCAAGTCACCCGTTTCCAAGGGAAGCGGTTTTTCACATACACTCTCAACCTGAAACCAAAGTCCTGGGCCAAGCAAAATCCGCTGGCTCGACATAAGCCAGAACCACAGATCACAGGTCCAGGCACCTGTGCGAACTTCGTCAACCTTGGGCTTCACATGGAGCAACTCTGTCAACCCCTGATTGACTGGTTCAGATTGAATCACCATCGTTTGTGCTTGTTGCTTAGTTGTGAAACCCAGCCAGTTGGGCCCAGAATAGACCATGCTCCCCCCCTCCCAAAAAAAAAAATGAAAAAAGAGAGAGCTCTTGGGGGCCTTTAAATCCTACAAGCCTGGCACTGCCGAACCACCTGCGCGACATTTGTCCGCCCACGCCCAGCACGCGCCCCTTTTCCCGCACGGCTCGGCCCCCTTTGGGGGGGGGGGCGCGGAACTTCCACCGCCTAGCGCCTACCGCCTGAGCCGCCAGCGCCGCCCGCCCTAAGCCGCCCAACGCGGCACGTCCTTGGCGCAGGACTGGAACATCCAACTCTCGAGGTTCGAGCCGAAGGACCTGGCCGCGACTTCATCCAACAGAGGTCCCCCCCCCCAGGATCCCATCAAGGGGAGGAAAAAAGATTCAACGGAGGACAACCTCCAAACCAAAAAAAAAAACGCAGCATCCCCCCCCCAGAATCCCAATTGGCACCAGGGGAGAAAAACATGGATGACGAAAAGCGAAGGATCCCCTCAGCTTCCAAACCCCCAGGGTTGAAGCTGTGAATTCCGTGAGGGCCTCCCCCGACGCTTCCTGGTAGCGCTCAGCGGTTCTTTGCAGTTTTCCCCACGAATGAACCGAACCAAAAGAGCAGCAACGGAAAAAAAAATGCCACGTCGATAAGATGCAAGATGCGAGTGGTATGCTGGCAGTGTGCTTGCGACAGGCAATTGTCCAATCTAAAGCGTCAAATGGCTGTGGCTCAAAAAACCGGTGCCGAAATGGGTTGCCCTGCTAGGTGGAAACATGGACAAAAACCCGCGTAACCCCTCCTGTTTAATCTTGAGCCACACCCAACTCGTTTCTCAACTTCTCGCCCACGACAGTCGCTTGCTTGGAAGCACGGGGTTCGCAACATATGCAACATGCGGCGAATCCGCCATAGCCCTTCGAAGGTGCTCTTTGCCCTCAACCTCCCTTCAGTTCCCCTGGTTCATGGCAACATTCCGCCACGAGTGGTGCGGGTCTAAAATAGGCTTGCCCCCGAACTGAACTGAACCAGTGTTCACTACCCTCTTAGTCAACATGGAACCCGACAGGGGCCTGGTCCCTTAAAAGGAAAATGGTCCAAACCAGGACCCCCCGAAGGTCAGGTTCCATGTTACTTGGTGGTTCGGTAAATCCTGGATCTTCCCCCTAAATGGGGCACCCGAAACAAAATTTCCCGGCGCCTCTTGGGTGGGTGCAGCTTCTGCTGGTCGCCCTGGTGCAAAGCCTCGCCATCAGAAACATGTTGCAGAGTTCCGGCTGGGGCGCATGTGTCAAAATAGGGGGGCCAAGCAAACAAAAAGTGATGTCCGTGTTGGTTTCCCTTTGCAGCCACCCCCCCCCAAAAAAAAAAAAAAGTACCCTTAAAACACATACATAGACAACACCCACACGCCCACGCAAAAGCACGCACGCCCGACGCCCGCTTGCCCGAGCATTTTTGCTCTAGGATTTCTCTCAAAGGCGGCCTCCGAGTACCATGACCATCATGACCCAAGAGTGCAGCCAGTCCATTTTGAGGTCTCATGATTCCTGGCTGGAGCCGCTGAGCCTGGGGACGCCCGGAAGAAAAAACAAACTAAGCCCCCTGACTTTCTCCCAAAGGTGAGCTGGCAAGATCAACTCATCTGAGAACCAACCACTTAGATGGCTCGCCATTGAAACTCATACCCAAGGAGATGTGCATCTATCAGGGGGCTCCAAATTTGTGGGGTGTCCTTCGGTTTCTTTTTGCGCCAACCCCAGCAAGGCATGGCCTCCAAAATCCAGAAACAAAGAAGCTCTACAGAAAAGAAAAAAACTAATCTCGGCCTTCTTTTGTTCCGTTCGTTCACCGGACAGGAGAGCCGGGGGGGGGGGGGCGTTGCCATGGGGGGGGTGGGGGGTGGACATCGGCGCCTCGCAGAGCTCGCAGTAGGCGGCCTCCTGGGCCTCCCCCTGGCCGCTGACCCGCAGCTCCGCGCGCCAGTCGTGGAAGCCTTCGATCCGAAACCCGACAAAAACGGATTCGCCTCCCAGAAGCGGGGGGGGGAGCAAGGGAGAAACCGAAACCCGAGGCCAAGGCAACCGCCCAGAGAAGTTCTTCCCCTCAGCGGGGGGAGGGGGGAGGGGAGAGAGGCGCGGACCCGGAGACCTTTTTCCTCGGGAAGCTATCTAGAAGTGTTTTAGATTGATGCTTCGTAAGTGTCTTTGGTCTGACCATTACCTATCCCGAAGAAGAGAGCCGCCCACCCCCCCGGCATGAACGCTTAGAGTCCATTTTGCAGCCCAAGGAACTCTACAAACACAATACCCAAAACGAAGGTGGGTGCAAAATAGACCTTTGGTCAAGAAAAGCCCCTGCCAAAGGGAGCAAAAGCATGAAAAGAGTTTCCTCAAAGTAAAGCAACCCCGCTGTGAATAATGAAACGTTGCAATTTCTATGGGCTCAACATCAACTCACTTGCTGAGTGGATGGCCCAAAAACAAGTCCAAACTTTATATTTACCAATAAAATGGTCTTCCCAAACAGTTTAAAGTTCATGAACTCAGGAAGTGGGTCGAGCCAAAAAACGAGACGTGTCCAGCAAACACATGGCTTGCTACTCGAATGCTTATGTTAAGATCGTCCTTGGTACATGTTTTGGCAACGGCCTTGAAAAGGTTGCACTCAGTTCGATGCCGGCCATCATAGACTACCAACAAGAGGCTTCGCTGCAGTCCCCGGTTTCGTTTCGCCCCGTTCGCGCTCGTTCCGGGCGCTGATCCGAAACGCCCAGCCGCGATTGTACCTCGCATCGTCTGCGTCGATGGCCAGGAGCTCTTTGGCCAAGTCCTGCACCGACCGGAAGTCATCCACCTCGGATTTGTTTTGCCCGCGGCGGGGGAAGAAAAACACGCTTTTTGTGTTTGCTTTGGTTTGTTCTTGTTTTGAGGGAGAGAAACCACCTGTGTTTTTTTGGCTTTTTGCTTGTTTGTTGGTTGGTTGGTTTTGTCTTTCTTTTTTTATGAGGGAGAGAAAACAAATGTGTTTTGTGTGGGGTTTGTTGCCTCCAAAATCTCAAGTAAAAAAAAAGAAGAGAGGGAAACCAATAGAAAGAAGACACAATCCCCCCCCTGCCCGACGCCCCCACCAGACAAAAGGAGGTCCAGAAACTGCCCCCACAGGGTGCCAAACAGGAGATATTTCGACCAAAACCCTGGCAACCAACTCCGGCCAAAGGCGTCCTTTTAGGGGAAATAGATGGCCCTGGTAGATGATTAAACCACCCGGCAAACCAGGAATCGCAATTTTTTGTTCGACCAAAACAACCAAAAAGGACACCTATGACTCTGGCCAAAGGAGCGTGCAAGAAGGAGGTCCCAGGCAAGATCCGCTCGTAGTCCTTGCGGCCTAGGCCTTGGCTCTTGCGAGTGGTCGTGTCTAGGGGGCTCGAAGAAAAGCTCCGAACATGGGGGAAAGAGGTCAAATAGGTCCCAAAAAGGACCCAGTAAAATGGAAAAGGTCCATGGAGATACATGGAAAATACATCCCAATGGGAAAAGTTGATAGGTCCCAATGGGAAAAGCGACCCAAATACATGGGGAAACTACCCCAAAAAGCGATGATGAGGTCCCATTAAATGGGAAAAGTCCTACCCGTGGATCCCATTTTGGGGCCGAACGGACTCATGGATCCCATGGATCCCATGGATCCCATGGATCCCATGGTCATTTTGGGGCCGGACGGATTCTTGAGCAAGCGAAATGGCATTCCCCAGGCCGTAGGTGACTCTTTCCCGAGGGCGGTCAGGGGTGGAGATCTCTGCAGATCCCAATCATAAACAGGACAAAAGGAAGCACATGCCAAGATTGCTGCAGATCCCTTTGAGAACCATTTGGGGGTCCATTTCTCTACCGTGTCCAAGTAAGGGCGGTCAAAGGGACGCCAGTCAGAAAAAGGAACCCCTGAAGGCTCCTCTGCAAGGGACGTTTCCCCTGGGTGCCAGTGAAAGGGCAGTCCAAGGGGTGGCTTCTTCTTCCATGCGAGGGGCCGCCCAAGGCTAAGGGCACCATGCCCCAGCGGAGGCCGCGGAAGAACTTCTCTGTGACGTAGCCCTGGCACCGCGAGTTCCTCAAGGCACTTGGCAGGTGCCATGTGCAGGGAATGAGGAAATGAACCCACGCGTTGGTCCCCTTGAAGGAAAACACCAGTTGGATGATTTATAGGGGTTATTAAGAAAAACCCGACAACATCGACAGGCACCAGGTGGCTTATCCCAGCTTCCATCCCAACTGCCAGATTGCTCCCACGAGGCTTAGTTAATTCATGAAGCCTTAGTTGAAAGGGGCTGCCCCATGCAAGATGGAATGCATCACTTTTGAGGAAGTCCCCCATATTGATCCACCAGGTATTCACCTGTCGTCCTGGCGTTTGAGGTCTCGGAACTGGCCTTTGCCACAAGCCACCCCTGAGATGTTGGGAACCTAAGCAGGTGACGACACCCAGCTGCTGGAAGACCGCTTTCCTCCGAAGAGGAATCCATGTTGAGCAACACCCATAGGGAACTCTCCTTCAAGGTTCGGCAGGTGTTCGAGCATCTCAAAAATGTTTCACTTCGCCCGTAGAGGGCATGCGTTGGTTGACGAGCTGACGCGAACTTGATGATGGGGAACCCAGTTGGCGGACAAGCCTCTGGCTGATTTTCATCTGGGAAGGGACCCATCCGGGCCACTTTTGACAAACGCTCCCCGATTCAAACTGCGGCCCAGTTTCCCGTTGATTGCCCTTCAAAGCAACCTCAAAAGGGTACCCTCAAAAAAGACATGCCAAACTGTCAAGGGTGTGTTGTTCAGATGGATGCTTTGCTCAGCTGTCCAATGGCTACTGGACACTTTGCGGGGGAAGGGCAAAAGTTTTAGGTGGCCAGCCAGCAGCCGACAATTCACCCCCTACCCTCGCAAAACCTGTGTAGCACATCTTGGGCACCTCAAATTCCTCCCCACCCATCCCAGAAATGGAGCCAGCTTGGCCTGACCCCTGTCAATGGTAGCTGTCACTTAAAAGGCGGCCCACTGACATATGGTGGGTGGACAAAATCGTGTAGTTGGGATGGGTGAAAAAGTGGTAAGGTCTCTGGAAAAAGAAAACTTGTTCGATGAGAGAAGACACTTTAGACAAGGCCAAGAAGTCACTTGGTCGTAGCCTCAGGCCAAGCACGGCCGTGTGAATAGCGCTTGATAAACCATGCCAACTGCTGCGTGTCGTGGACTTTGTCCATCCGTACTAACCACCACAGCTGGACGGCCACCCTGGAAAATGAGTCCCCCAGGAAGAGTTCCCCAACAGAAATCCCACTTAGGCAGCTTGTTCACCAGGCTTCGTTCCTGATGAATTCCCCAGCGGCTCTTATAGAAACCAAGGGTTACCAAGCGCTTGGCCGTCCGAATCCACGCAATCGAAACCAGTGGCTCAAAGGCGGCATAGAACTTGTACTGGGACATGAGCTCCACGTTGCAGGGAGTGTCTCTGTTGCCTTTGCCTCGCAGCCAGCGAGGGAAAGGATGAAATGGAATGGATGCAAGGGAAGGGATGCAAGGGCAGGGAGGGAAGAGGAGATATTTGAAAAGACGCAAGGGGCGGAAGGTAAGAAGCTGATGAACCCACACTCCTATGATTGCTTCTGAGCCTGGCCCAACAAATGCTTGTTCAAAACGCTTTCACAGGCGTCGGGCCAGCTGCTCTAAGGCCGATAACGCGGAAGAAATGCGGGCGGCAGGGGCGGAAGAGCCTGGCCCACGTTGACAGATGCCCCAGTAGATTTCCATGGGACAAAAAAGGGGCATATGTTTTTAGTTGGTTGAGTTCAAAGGGGAACCCTTCCCTAAGAAAAGGAAAAAAAGGGCGCCACTGGGCAGCTGGGGGGAAGTCTGAAACTTTCCCTTCCAAGGCTGCCGATCAAATTGTTCCCCCAGAGGGGTACATGGGTCTACGTGGCGCTCCATCCCCGGTAAAGAGGAGCCATTGCGGCCGCCTTTTGTCCAGCTGGTGAGATGAAGCCATCCCCCACAAATTGGCACGCGGGTTCCCTGAATGGCAGGGAAGAACTCACCGGGCTTCCCCCCTGTTTGCCGGGTAGCAAGGGGACTTCTTCCCGCACCGTCCGAACATGTGGACCTTGTCGCCCAGAATCTTCTGGATGTCTTTGAAGAGACTCATGCGCCCTTTGGCCCCGCAGTTACCCACAAACCACAGCAGCAGGTACCTGAACAAACACCCCGTCTCATCACTCGCTCAGAGCTTGCACAGGCTTATTCCCTCCCCAAAAGGGAAAACCATTTCGAAGCTAGAAAAAAAGAAAAACATGTCCTGCCGAGTCGAGCGCGCAAGATATATCATCTCTGTGGGTAGGTCTTACAACCAGACTGCTCGGGGCAAAGGGCATCTCAGAACTGAAATTCTCTACGCGTCCCTCAACTTGCGGAGGCACATTCCCATAGGAGGTCCCCAAACATGTTAGCTGAATGCTTGCTTTCCTGCCTGCCTCCCGTTAAAACCAACCCCGACAAGGGTGGCTTTCCAAGAGACAAGCGACACATGGACCGCTCCGTTGCCCAATGGTCCTCAAGCATCCTCAAGACAAGCGGCATGTGGCTTATCTGAATTCATCAAGGCCTTCCTTGTGGGAATTCCCGTGTGTTGATGAACCGGCCCTCTTGCGTGCTCCAATGGAGATTTGGCCTTTGCCACAGGGAAGCACGAGGATCCAATACCAAATTTCTGCCATAGCTAGGCAATCTTTAAGGAACGGCACGGATCGAGCAAACCTGCCCCCCACCGGAAGGGGTCTCTGGGGTGTGCTGTTCATGCCCCATTGGTGTTGTTTTTGAAGCGAAATGCAACAGACCGACGTGTCCCACAAAACCAACGCCCCAGGCCGAAACCAGAAACGACGGCCCAACGGCCCATCTGGGGGCACTTCTTCCCCTTCGCGTAGGCACCGTCCGCTTTGAAGCCCACGTAAGCTTCGGGGTCCGAGTGCCGCACCAAACGGTAGAAGGGTCGGAAGATGTCAGAGGAGGGCTGGAAGGTCATGGTCAGGTCCTCCCAAGGTGACATCCCAGTGAACATTGGCTGATTACGATACTGCGCAGCAAGGTAGCAAAGGGTGTTGCCCTCAATCCGCAAAACAGTGAAGGTCTTCCGTCCCTTGAGTTTTGGCGCTGCTTGACTGGCAATTTTGAGCCAGGGACCCTTTGGTGGACATCGAATTCGGTGGGAAAAAAATGCACGTCCATCACTTTGGAGGTTCCCGATTTTCTTCGTTCATTGCCAAATCAGCCTAGGTGGCATCCCAACCCCGAACTTCCGCCACAGGCTGCACCGAACCACTCCGGAACCTGGGCAAAAAGAAACACCAAGGCGTCCAGGTCGGGAAAAAAAACGATGGCGTTCGTGTCCTCTGCGTGTTCCCAGATCTTTCTGAAAGCAAGCTGAAATTCTAAACAACAACATAAATACCCCTCCCAACTTCCAGAGAAAGAGAATCGCTCAAGGAATGCATCAAGGCGGAAAATATGGCAGCTGACGGACCTTCGAAGGCGGGCTAAATGGAAGTCCCTACTAAACACTAAAAAGCTAAAAAGCTAAGGGGATGGCTGGGAACTACAGAGAAACGAATGAGGAGCCATGAGCTGGGGGATCCCGCAAGCGTCGCCAAGGACCAGCCAGCAAAAAACCAGGCCGATGATTGCACACCAGCACCTCTAACAGCACGGACCACAAACAGCACCCGGCCATCAATCTCGCAAAAACGCGCCCGCGCAGTCACCAGCACCCCAAACAGCATCCCAAAGCAGCACCCCAAACTGCATGTTTCCTAGCGCCATCTAACGGAAATGCGTCCATGACACTACCCGGCCCCCTGAAAGAGACCCCGTGCCAGCACCATCTCACACGCCCCCTCCAACAAGAAGGAAAAAAAAGGCCCCTGCACCAGGACTCAAGCTGCATACCCGTACCGTCACCAGCGGCACCCCAAACAACACCTGCACCAGCACCCCAAACTGCATGCGCCCTAACACCCAGCCATCAATCTCGCAAATCTCTCCCCTCGTTACTAGAAGTTGGAACCCCTACCGGTATAGCTTTCAGCTATCTGGAGAGAACCCCCCCCCAAAAAGAATAAAATAGAAGCACCCAAACAATTGCCCCCCCAAAACCACCCCTCTCAAAACCACCCACCCCACCCCCACCCCACCCCCACCCCACCCCCACCCCACCCCCACCCCCACCCCACTGTGGGGTCCATGTTCTTGGACAGCGCGCCGGTCACCCCGCGCGCCCGCGTGTGGAGAGTGGGGGACTCGAAATGGAAGCTGTACACCTGGGATGTCTGAGACTGAACCCCCGAGTGAGCTTGGAGCCATCAGCCCGGATCTGCCAAGCGCCAGGTTAAGCGCAACAAACAAACCAACAAGCAAACAAGCAAAACAAGCAACCAAGCAAACAAGCAAACAAGCAAAACAAGCAACCAAGCAAACGAGCAAACGAGCAAACAAGCAACCAAGCAAACAAGCAAACAAGCAAAATAAGCAACCAAGCAAAAGCAACCAAGCAAACGAGCAAACGAGCAAACAAGCAACCAAGCAAACAAGCAAACAAGCAAACAAGCAAACAAGCAAACGAGCAAACAAGCAAACAAGCAAACAAGCAAACAAAAAAACAAGCAAACGAGCAAACGAGCAAACAAGCAAACAAGCAAACAAGCAAACAAGCAAACAAGCAAACAAGCAAACAAACAAACAAACAAGCAAACAAGCAAACAAGCAAACAAGCAAACAAGCAAACAAGCAAACAAGCAAACAACAAACAAACAAACAAGCAAACAAGCAAACAAGCAAACAAGCAAACAAGCAAACAAGCAAACAAGCAAACAAGCAAGCAAGCAAGCAAACAAACAAACAAACAAACAAACAAACAAACAAACAGACACACAGACACACAGACACACAGACACACAGAACGCGCAAACACGGCAAATGACACAAACATGCCAAACAAACACACACACACACAGATTGACAGACAGAAAATGATGATTGCCAACCACTGGGCAAAGTGCGTACCAATCCGTGCCGAAGACAAACCAGGACCCTTCAGCAGCTTACAAAACGCCCGAGCTTGGCCTCATTTGCCTCAAGAAGGTCCACTAAGACCCCATCATTCGGGGGACGCTGCTGGACCTGCTGCGAGGCCGCAGGTGACATGGAACTCACAAAGGGGCCGTGTCACCCGGCGGCCAACTTTTGGCATCAATTGCAAACAGATTCTTCAACTGGCACGAGCTGTCTCTCGCAGCACCTCAGGCCCCGAGCCTCTGTCTCCCCATGCCCCCTCCAAAAACAAACCAAAAGAACAAGACACCTCCACCGTCTACTGGCGTGAGGTGCCACTGAAAGATGGGCCAGTCATGACCCTTCCTCTGTCTGCCACCAGGGTCTAGCTCAGGGAGGAAAGTTGACCCTTGCTATTTGAAACCAACAAGAAAAATTGCAATTAGGAGCAAATCGCAGCGACCGTAAACACGCGTCCCATTCTGGGACGCAGCACCGGACTTCAGCCATAAAAGCTGCTCCGTCTCCCTAGGTTCTGCCTATGTCTGAAAACGTCGTGCCTCTCCCTGTTTTCTTGGGAAACCCCGCCCCTCTCTCCCTCTCTCTTTCGCGTTTGCTTTTGTTGTTCCTTTCCAGGCTGTCCCACAGCGCCCATCTCAATATTTATGTTTGGAGGTTGGCGTTCTTGCCAGAAACTTGCTGGTTCGATCGCCAGGGAATGAGTTGGAATGACCCCGACCTGAGCCGTACCTTGTGCTGTCCCTTGTGGTTCGGGGATCTGAAACAATTCATTCCCAACCCTGAGAACCAGCACGATACACGCGAAAGCAACAGTTGGCCGTTAAAACAAACGAGTCAAAAAAGACTTAAGCAAAAAGAGTTATCTTGGCCGTAATAACAATGATGATCATAATCATTCAACTAAATGTCACACGAATCATGAGACCTGGAAGAAGCGGGGGACGTTTGTAATGGAAACCCCCTATTTATTTATCAACCCCTGTTTAGTAATATGGGGGGTGTCCCTGGTTTTAGTGGGGATTTGTCACTTTTTGGAGTGGAACACCTTGATTAATAGGGGGTCAACTTTTTTTCCAACGGGGTGGGCAGAACCCCTTGTTGAAGAAATCCTTGTTCTCTTTCTTTTTGGGCATTCCTTTTGTGTTGTGTGTTTCTTTTTGGCAATGCTCTCTATTTCTGCTAGTATCACCAGAAATTACATATAATAATTTGATTCGTCAAAAATTCTTCCGAGGCGCCCAGACCTGGCCCCGGCGCTTCCGCGAGGGTGGCTTCGACAAGGGGGACATCCACAGGGCGTTGAAGACCACCGCGTCCGCTTTCTCCAGGTCCTGGAAAGCGGAGAAAAAGGACACATCTGCAAATGGTTACGAGGAGAAAAGAAGAAACAAAGGGAAGGAACACATCTGCCATAATTGCTGCTTGGTTAGACAGCGAACGATGAGGAACACATCTGCAAATTGTAACAACTAAGTTACTCATGAGGAACGCACCTGGGGAAAAAGGAGCTCATGGTAAAGGCTCTTTAGGATCCCTTCATGGTTTTGGAATTCGGCTACCCCCAAGGTCAGCTTGGCCAAAAATTCAGCATCCGCCTGGAATCAAAATGCAAATTGCAACTTTAATTCCAAAACGAACGAACGAATCCGGGTCTCTGAGCACGTGCTTGACCTTTAGGGGGTTTGGGGGGTGGCCGAATTCCAAAACCTGAATAAAGGGATCCTCAAGAACCTTTACCATGCTGAGCTCCTTTTACCCCAGCTAAGCTCGCTAAAAAACATACAGACCAAACGGGTATTTCTCTCATAACATTTGGGACCCCTTCAAGTGGTTGGCCTTCCAGGTACGTCGGTGCGAGAGATGGGAAAAACCAAATGGAGTCTGACCACCCAACTGCTGGCTTTCCTTTGCGAATCCCTACAACGGCTCATTCCTTTCGCACGCCCTGCTGAGCAGCAAGCCTAGACGCAAGGAACCAATGGCTGGCTCTCGCAGAAAAAAGCTGCTCCTCAAAATTGGTGTTTCTCCAAGAACCACTGGAGGTTTCTCAGCTTAATTCGGGAGCCCTTGAAGTGCTTGGCGTTTCTTTTTCGGCTTCAACCTCGAAACCCTCCAAGGACTCAAAAACCCCTCGGTGACAAAAAATCAAACGAAGCCACTTGGCACCCGCGAGCACGGCTCCGAAAGCGTGCGGGCACCAATAGCTTGGTTTGATACAAGTAAGGATTTGTTTGTCAAGGAATGAGTACACTCAGCACTTTGATGATTTCTGCACTGGGTGGGCCACAATTGGGGGTACACTATGCGAGAACATCAGGAAAAAATCAAGGCATGGAACAACTTGAAATCGATTTTGGATGCCCTGAAAGGAAACCACAAGGAATTGTTAATAGGGATCACTCCAAGAGAAAACGTGCTCACAAAAAGGGGGAAAAAGGGCGCTGCTAAAAAGGAAACGGGCAACCAAGTAACAGAAAAGAAAGGAAAATACAAAAAACATTGCCCAAGGGTCCTCAAATCCGGCGACTTTGGGGCACAGGAGGGGGCATGAGTTCAAGGGTAAGCCGCCGGAAGCCACCGCAACAGCGGGGGAAGGGGAAAGAACCAACGGCCCCAAACAGGGCTCCCTATGTTTCCCCAAACATCACCCCCAAGGGACACTCACCTTTCATGGGCCAAAAAGGCGATGTGTAAAACCACACACACACCAAAAAGAAAAAGGGACATATAGGGACCCCTGCCAAAGGAAGCCCCTGAGTCAGGGGCGACCAAAAATCACCTGGAACCTGGGGCGGGTTGCCCGGCCAGAGATATCCCAGGCCACCGCCCGCGCGTCCGCGCGTCCTTGGTCCGCACCGTGAAGTTGCACGCGCCTCGCGGGCAGACCAGCCCCTGGCGCGACGGTAAAAGCCCAGGCGCAAGGCGAGGCGAGGCGAGAGCCCCGGGCAGCCGGCGGGAGGGCAGGCCAAGAAACTGTGAGTCATATGCTTTCTTGCTCTGGGTCTTGGACCCCAGGCTCCCCCTCCCCAAAACACCCTTGCTTGGATGAGCCCCAGTGAGAGGGCTACCTACCGGATCCAGTTCAGAAGGGCTCTGGACCACTCTTGGCAAAATCACCCACTTACGTCCTGGGTCAACATTCGCCATGGCCTTCCCTGCAACATGCACACGTCTTCTTTTGACGCTTTCCTGCAGGAGCCCCACCAAGAAGATTGCCCCCGATTGATCCCGCTGCTTCAGTGAGAAGCCCTTCGAAGAGAAGAACCAGCCAGTGTGGCATCTAGCAACACCGACAGCGCGGGAGTCGAACCCAGCCCCCGCGCCCCGAGAACGTGTGGAGCACAATGATTACCACTCCCAGACAGGCGAAGGCAGCATGGCACCCACTTTCCTAGCCGGCCAACCAAGCGGCGTTGGGCCAGCCCCTGCTTCAAAATATCTAATATCGTCAAACCGAGTGTTGAAACAATCTCCTCTTCTGGTTCTCCATTTGGGTCATAACCAAAACTTGTGGCTCAATTGAATTTGGTCCAAGAAGTCGCTGTCCCTGCATGCAAAGGCCGCTGGCTCGCCCAACCCCACCTTGTTTTTCCACTTGCCGGTGCGCACCGCCTTGCCATCCTCTATGCAGTTCACAAAGATGAGCTTAGGCCGTCCAAGCCTCAGACACATTGGCAATGAGAATTCATGGCAGTTGTTACCCGCGCGTGTGGGCCCTCATCAAGTTGAGTGATCTCAAAAAAGACGGAGGGTGCAAAACCCAGCTGGGGCTGGGGCAAAACGGTGCTTCTCAGACCAAAAAGCAGGGGCCCGTGCGGGGCCCAAAAAAATTGAAGGCCACCAAGGCCCCTTCCCGGGGCCTAATTCAAGGTGCCCCCGCTGACATCTTGCCAAGAAGCTTTTGTTTCCAATTCAAAACGCCTTTAAACAACCCTTGTAATGCGACCCTCAAGAGGAACAAAACGTCCAAACTCTTGTGTAAACCGTCTCTGGCGGACCTTCTTTTCACGCTCCTTAAGGTGTGCCTCCCCAATTCGGCGTCTGAGTGTTCATGGCTCTTCCACTTCCAAAAAAGCATGTTGCGACTCGAACATGAGAATGGGCGGACTGAAAGCCGACACCATTGGCCAGAAGAGCTGACCTGGCTTTTTTTGAGTTTTTGTATGCAAGACTTCTTTGTAATTATCTTCCTTCGCCCTCCCCGCACCAAACCAGGAATGCGAAAAGGTCAACCAATTCCGAACAGGTAGACCAGGCTAGAGCGTTTGTCCACTCAACAAAAACCAAACGAAAGTTCAGTCACACTCCCGGGGTACCATCTAGGATCACAGGCCTCGTTTGCACCGCCCACACCGAGGCTAGGTGGACGAGGCAACGAGGTATGCCCTCCATGGTGCCGGGAAAGCCTCCTTTCTCCCTTGGCCAACTTGGGATCACAGAAAGTGATGGCAACCTCGAGCCAGATTTTGCACATCCCCACCAATCCCCTGCAGGCAAGCAGCGGCTTCTCCGGCGCGCTGACGTTGACGCTGACGTTGCTAGCGACCTCCTCCTCCCCTGGCGCAGGCACTCGAAGCTGCCGGAGCGCCCCGAGCGACCCGCAAGGTTCACCCCGGATGGAGGGAGAAAAAACAAGAACAACGGCGGATGAGGGTGAGCTCCAAAACGAATGAAGGGGTTCCCTCTCCAAACTGGGACGCTGGTGATCAAGGATGCCCACCACTAAACTGGGGTGGTTACCCAAGTGGGGGCAGGAGGGTCGTACACCTAGGATCTGAACAGGCACGAGCCTTCGTAGCCAGCGGGGGCATCCACCGCGGTCAGCGAAGCGGACAGCGCTGGCAAACGCAGGGACCGCGGGTCCTGCAAGACAGCTTGAGTGAAGCTTGGCGCGGCAACCCCCGGAAATCAGCATGCCTCAGCTTCGCTCCAATGGGTGGTTTGGAGCCGAATCGGTGGTTTGGCGGTGAAACGGAGGGGTTTCAAACCCCAACTAAGGGTTGCCTGACATGCTGGACCTTGCCAGCGGCTAATGGGATGTCGTACTGGCCAAGCTTGATCCGAATGGAAGACTCATCCTCACACAAATGGGTGGGAACACAAGAAGCTCGAAACTCGCGAAATCTGTCAAGTGCTGATTTTGCAGGGGGACTTACCAACAAAATGCAAAACGAAAAAAGGCAGGACCCTTTACCAGGCACCTATCGAGGGGGCCAACCCCTAGAACACCGCAAAAGTCATGGCTCGGAACTCGGGATCCTTTGACGAACTGCTCAAGGCAAAGCAAGCGCCGAACATAAGAGTCAAAACAAAACGCGCCCGGACCCTTAACCCGGCACGTGCATATATACATATATATATATATATATGTGTGTGTGTACATGTATATGCCCTTTTAGGCATACAACTAAAAAAAGGAAAGTGACAAAAAAAAACATTTGGCCACTTAAAGGGGCGATGCTCAACATGTGTTTCTTCTGGAAACAAGCTGAGCACAAAATTGTGACAGTGACAATAAAAGTCATTTGGGTATGGATCAAAATACAACCACCAGGGGACTGCAGGTTTTAGTCTTTGGTTCCATTTACCAGGGTTCCATTTTGGGTATGCATTTTTGACCCATAGCCATTTCTGAGACATCCGACCCGAGGTGAGCTCAAGCTATGTGAGTTCCCCCCCCCCCCCCGGACAGCTCGGGGCAGTCAGCTGATTGCTATCTGGCCGCCACGCATGCCGAGCCCAAGTGCGCCTTTCTGAAGTTCCTCTACGGACCTTCCAAGCGCCAAGCTCCCAAAGCACACCCTAAACCCTAACCTTCCAACCCGAAGCCGAAGCCCCAAATGCGCAAACCCAAACGAGCTGAATCCCAAAAGAAAAACTGGCCCAGAAATCTAGAAACCCTGACAATCCCCAACCCCGGAGGCCCTAAACAACCATAAAACCGGACAACAAAAAAATAACAAAAGCAAAACACGGCAAATCACAAACACCGAAACAACTTGATTATCAAAGAACAAAACAATAAAAAACAAGTTGCATTCCAAAACCCGGGAACGAAAGCGTTACAACCTTCAACCCTACATCCTGGACCTGTGGGCGGTATGTATGTGTTTGTGACTTTCTGCTTGATTTTTCGAAAATGTGTTGGAACGGAGTTTTGGCCTTTAGGCCACTATTGCTTCAACAAGCTCCTTTGGGGTTCGCTATAGGGTGGACCAAGGCTCAGTTGCTCAAACAGCTGTTTCCCCTCCCTGTATGCCACCCCCTCCGGAAAACAAAGGGGATCAATCCAACTGCCCAACTGCCCCAACCGGTCCTTTCGCTTGGACGTCCCTGCCTTCTTGAAAGGACCGGTTGGGGCAGTTGGGGACAGAACCCAGGAGTCCTGAGTCGCTGGTTGAATTGGGGAGGGGACCCCCCTCCCCTTCACAGTTGGGTAAACAGCCCATTAAAGAACCCGCAATTCGAGCCCCCCACCCAACAAACCCAAATCGCCATGGGTGGGAAGTTCTTCTGTTGACCGCATTTGTTGTTTGTGATGTGTTTTCGAGGGTACGAAGTATTAAGATTGGCAAACAAACCAAATAGGCAACCACCATTTGTGGGAGTACCAGTTTGACATTCCCAATACCCATCGATGCTTTTCCTGGAGGTTGGCGCCCAAGATGAGGAAGCTCCCCAACGTCAGCACCAGCGCGCCCAGCACCCGCCACCGGCCCCTGGTGAGGAAATCCCAATGCAAATGATGACCACCAAAGGGTTCCGAGGTATGAATTCCCTCAGGCTATCGTGGAAGCGCCAAGGGCACTGCAAGTAGAACCAAGTCATTGCACCTGGGGCTTCCGCATAGAAGCTTTTTTTTCCCCCGTTTCTTTTATCTTTTTCGGTTAAGTTGTCCCGTTCTCCATGGAACCCATTTCTTATCCGGTTCAAGGTCCACTGATTGAGTTTTCATGATTTGCCCATCGAAAATTTCTTGGCGGGCGTCCGCACACGGTACCTCTGGCAGAATGGGTTCTGCGATTGGCGCAAGACGCATTAAAAAGCAGGTTCGAATCGGATTGTTTGTTTGTTTGTTTTTACATGATAAATATTTACGTCATATACAGGTTCCATTCAAGTGTGTAGATTTTTGGCCTTTGCGGACCTGTGAGGCCCTTTAAGAACCCCCTGCGTGCCATGGCAAAGCTTCAGCCTGACCAGCAACCCCGAGTGTCCAACAAACGTGCAGAATTCGGTCCTTTTTTGGACCCCTGCATGTGGGCAGCTCACCCAAAACGGACCCGACATTCTCTACCTCCCCAACCCCGCGTGAAGCGTTGTGAAGACTCAATTAATCCAAGTGCACCTTCCCGTTTGACTAGGTTAACACCAAGCCAACTGAATGTCCCAACCCTTCAAATCAACTGTCAACCCCCGAGCATCCCCGTTTCGATCCAAAACCACCTTTCTTGGTTGCTGTTGACCCCCCTGCAAAAAGTTTAACTTTTGTGTTAAAGTCTAAAGATCCGACCAAGTAGCAGTCAAGCTTTGTGCGGGTTCGAAGCCAAGGACCTGCTGAGCTCGCGTTTCGTCTTTGTTTTCAGCAGCAGGGGGGCCGACTCCCATGGCGTGCATCCGATTTTTCCGCTTTCGAGGACAGGAGCCATGGAAGTTCAACGAATCTCAGACGTCTGAACTCTAAGAGTCTCCGAAATCCCAATTCAAAAGTTGGTGTGAACCTGGATACCAACGATTGCCAGTTGAAGCTTGGCCAATGTTCAAGCCCCGGCAAGTCCCCGAAAACATATGGAGTACTTCACGACTCCAAGTATGATTCCAACCTGCAAATATGTCCAACTCTGAATTTGCCTATAACGGTGATGGTTCAAGTTCGTCACCAAGGAACCACTCTTCAAGCGTCAAGTTTAAACAGGTCCAAAAAGGATATGTAGAGAACCTCCCTGCAACCTCCACCTTTTGGCGCAAAACCAGGCCCCGGCGCCTCTCTGAGTCGCACATGCCATGGGCGAACCGTTGGCCCCGAGGGAGGGACGTGTTTCGGCCAGCTGCGCAACCCCGCTTTGGGACCCAAGCTTCCAACCGAATAGGCTGCAGGTATGGGTGTACCATGAGTTTACCCATCAAAGTCAGCCTCTCCTAACCTAATGGCCTCTAGACTTGTGGCATCCCAGGCCAGAGTTACATGCTTACTCAATGGCCGAAGGTCAGCTTGAGTTTTGGGCTCGCATCTGGGGAGCCCCTGGCTCCAGCTGATCCTTGTGTTAGGTTCTCTCGAAGGGATTTGACCCATTTAGCTTGCAGAGGAAGCTCGCCGGCATCTCATCGGCGGTTTGCTAAAAGCGAAAAGGTGCATTGATGAGTGAACTTCTCCCACCATCCGAGTATCTTCGGGATCTGTTCTCGTGTATCCAGTTCCTCGGGTCATGTTGCTACCTCTTGGCTACTGGTGCGCCTCTTGCCTCAGCTGACCATGGCGCGCTTGTGGCTGCCTTTGGGCAAAGCAGCTGCGGATCTACGCAGCATTAATAACCTGTGGTCCCTAAACGTTGCGACGGGAACGTGATCCAATGGTTCTGTCCTTCCCAACCATCGAATGTCTTGACAATCCCTCCAGCTAAAAAACTGGGGAAGTGTCATATTTCAGTGGGCACTATTTGGGCACCACTTTGATGTCCGCGCCTGTGGTAGCCCCCATTCCCATCGCCTGCTGCCCCACTCAAAAACACTTCACGGACTCAAAGGAGAGGGAAACACAGTTTTCTCAACAACGGGGGAACCCGGGACCTTAAAAGGAACGAACCCCGCCGTGACTGCGACCTCTCCCTTAACTTGTGGGCGCGTGCAACGCGCTCTTTTCCTTGAGCCAAATGACATGCGGACATGTCATCAGTATGCTTGACTTGTTTGTACATCATGCAACAAGATAACACGTACCTCTAACTCATGATCCTCTGGGCCATAAATGTCATCGTGATAATTGACTCCCCCCTCATTGACGGCACTGAGGGAGTGTCTTGGGCGCATTACCACGCCAACTTGAAGTCAAGTTTACATCACAACGACTGACGCAAGTTATTCAAGCATCGCCCAGTCACTTGCACACTTTTTGGAAATTTTGCGGACATGCTGCAGCGCACTAGGCGGCTGCTTTAGCGGATCTACTTTCACGCACATCTTCAAGCTTCTCTGGAAGGTCAACACGAATGCCGAGCAACCTGATGGCATGGTCCCACTTGTTGGGAGGAAGTGCTTTAGTGAAAATGTCTGCTGACTGCATGTCTGTTTGGACAAATTCTATTGAGATGTGTTCGCTTTCAAGCTACTCTGCGATGCAAGCGAGGTTCACCTTGCGCGTGCGTTGTACACAGCGTAGCTTGGATGAGAAACCCTTCTTTGCTACGAGGATGGTCGCCTGATTATCCTCATGGATCTTGAGATGGAACGGCCTGTCCAAGATCAGCTCCCATAAGCTGAGCGCAGGTAGCGCCTCCTGGTACAGGGAGTACGCAAGAGACACTATTTCCGCCTCGGTCGTCGATCGGGAGACCGAGGTCTGCCTCTTCGACAACCACGCGAGGGGATCCCTTGCAACGATGCGGCAACACCGGAGGCATCTTGTGAACCTGAAACCTGAGGTGCTCCAACCGGCTGATGGGTTCCTGGGGGAACTGTGCCCTGACTTGAGGCTTTAGCCGCGCTTGATTCCGTAGCTATTTCGGCTGTTGATGCGGCTTTCGGCGGAGACTCTTGAATCGGTACAGGGGTCGCACGAGCTTGTTGGGTGAGGTGTGCATCAAGTCGTTGATGCATCACAGAATTTTCCTGGGACAATCCACGAATGGTATGCTCTTGACTGGCAATTGTTTGTTCCCTTTGCGAGATTGCCTGTTGAGCTTCAAGAACAATGCGTTGAACCTCCTGCTGAGCGTCCTGTTGAGTAGCATTAACAACCTGCCGTGCGTTCTCGACATGGTCTATGGCTTCCTGTCGGGTCTGCTCGATTAGTTGCCTAGCCTGAGCCTCACTCTGTTGTGCTGTTTGTACAGCTTGCGAAGCTAGCTGGGCGGCTTGCCCCTACATCTGATACTTCCCTTGCGGCCCTTTCCCTGATCCATCCGGCCTCTTGTCTCGCCTGGTCGGCGGCTTGCTGTTGGTGCAAGGCGTGATTGGCTGCCTGAGCAGCGAGGTCGGATGCTCGATGAGCTTGCTGCACCGCAGCTCCAGCAATAAAGGCCGCAGCCGGTACGTTAGTCATCGGGTCGGGTATTTGTGATCCCTGTGAAGGAAACTGAATGGCTGGGGAAGCTTCGGATGATGTAGGTTCTGACACGATCGGACCACTTGATGATGGTCGTGTTTGGGCTGCTCGTTGAGGTGTGGATGTGCGCATTGTGGACATTGCCGCAGGAACCATGGCGCACTCACACGAAGCCAGCTCCACGCGCTTTGAGCAGCGTGTCAAAAGGTGCTATGTGGGGATTTCCCGGGATTGGCAGCTGGTTGCGAGGCGCCTAAGTTGTACCACTCGAGAAAAGTCGCCCTGCTGCTATGCACCTGATGTGTAATTGTACTTGTATATTGATTGTTCGCAATCCCGCACTCTGGTGCTTTATTGAAGGATGTCGCCAAGCTGCTGATGAAAAGTCTGCTAATCGAATGCCTGTAGCTGCAAAGATGCTGTACCGCGCAAAGCGACGGTTTTAGCGGCTTGCAAAGAAAGGCTATCGAAGGACCCGATTGCCGGGCAGCTGGGATGCAGAACGATGGAGCTCCTCGAGATACTCCGAAGGGTGTAGGCCCCTTGCTGCCGGAATGAAGAATCGATTCCGGGACTCGATGAATTCCCCAATGTTTTCAAGAGCTGTGGCAAATCCGCTCGGCCCAAAGTGGGGGAAGTTGCGAAATGCAGCAATGCCGGTCTTCTGCGCCTCGCGAACGATGGCAGATTGGTCGTCCACGAGAACGTGGACTCCCAACCCCAAGAGTGCGTCCGCCTTTCCACCTCGGCCCAGTCTCTCGTGCACGATCTTGATCTGAGAGAACGTCAATCCAGTTGTGGCCTTTGCGTGGTCCAGAGCCACCTGGAACTCACGGCGACGGAAATCACTGGCAGCTCGGCCGACAAACGACAACATGATCAAGTTGATCGGAGCGTAGTCTTCAGTGAATTTCACGAGGTGCTGGATGATCTCGGGATTGAGATGGGGGCCTTGCTGACCGACGTCCAATACCTGGTGGCGCTGGCGGCGGCCTTCTCGGTGGCGATCGAAAGCGTATGCCGGCCTGGGAAGTTGCAGCGCTTGAAGCAGCTGCTTTAACGACCTGGGGCGGCGGCGGCTTGATAATATACCCTTGTGGTGGGTTTGAACCGGACTTGCTTCTGGGTTCGGCCTTGTTCAGACCTCGCGGAGGCGCCTTGTACCCGAATGCACTCTGAGTCCGAATAGGAGACCTTGCTCGAGGAGGTGATTTTGCAGGAAGAACTGCTTTTGCCGGTACCGAAGAAGCTGCACGAGGGAGTTCCTTGGGCAATGGAGGCTTGCTGCCAAAAATGATCTTTGGTGCGGCCTTTGATGGCGGTTGCTGTGTTGTTCCAATCCTCCTGCTATGCAAAGCAATAGGCTCAGTGTGCGTCGGTGCCTCGTATACGCGCCGGGGCACGTAAGCCGCCCTGCCAGTTGTAAGGGCTTCCGCGTCCTGCGTAGGCTCCTCCTCTGAGCTATAGGCGTCGAGGCGATATTGCTCCGCTGGTCCTGGGCGTCGATCTGGGGATCGTGATCGCGAGCTTGTGGATGATCTTCTTGGGGGATCTCTCCACGTCTCGTCCGCAAGCGAATACGGGTCAGCCTGACGGAGATGTCGGGATGTCCGCTGTGCTCGGCGGTGAGATGTCGCCTCACGCGGCTGTGAAGCCTCCCGAACGAGTACCCAAGTGCCGTGCTCGTCAAATCGTGTCACAGGGTATATACTGTTCTGTGGAGCCAATACAATGGGCCGTGTAGCAAGGGAAGTCCGGGATGGTCTGCCCTCCCGCGCAAGCGCGGGTTCAACACTATGCGCCCGAGGTTCCACAGGGGTAGCAGCAGTCGGTCCTTGTCTCGGAGACGATGGGGACCTCGATCTTTTTGGCGATCGTTCCCTGCTGCTCTCCTGCCGCGTTTCCGCAGCTTTAGCGTACACCCCGCGAAGCGCTGTCTTGGCGGCACCTCGCAACACTTGTCTTTCCTCTGCAGATGGTCGGAGACGAGGCAATGGAGTGCGGGAGTCCTGCAGCCAGGATGAAGCAGACGGAGGCGTAGGTGGTCGTAACCAATCCGCAGCACTGCTTGTTGCTCCCGCCGCGCCAGAGGCTGCGGCTCTATCCTGCGCCTGAACTCCTTGTGGCACTACCGCACCCGCGGTATCAACCGATGCAAGACGTTGCTGATAAGCGTTGTCCGCGGCCTGGATGATCTCAAAGGCCTCTTGGTCGAAATTCCACAAGTGCCAACTATCCAATGTCTCACGCCAGGAAAAGGGCCTCAATCTGTTGCTTTGAAGCCTCTGTAAACCTGATCCACCGGAAGCGTCGATCCTGCTTTTTGTATTCGTCGACGATGATCTGCTGGAGGGCGTTGAACAGACGGGCACGCGGCCCTTTCCCACCGCGAACGCCGCGGTGAGGGCCGACTTCCATGTGCGACCAAACGGTCGCATGACGGAAGGGTTTGTTTACCCGAAAAGCGATACGGCTGATAACCACTCAAAGGAGAGGGAAACACAGTTTTCTCAACAACGGGGGAACCCGGGACCTTAAAAGGAACGAACCCCGCCGTGACTGCGACCTCTCCCTTAACTTGTGGGCAGCGCGTGCAACGCGCTCTTTTCCTTGAGCCAAATGACATGCGGACATGTCATCAGTATTCTTGACTTGTTTGTACATCATGCAACAAGATAACACGTACCTCTAACTCATGACCCTCTGGGCCATAAATGTCATCGTGATAATTGACTCACGGACCCCACATTCGATCCCTTTGGAAAGCAACCATCCCCTCAATCCAAACCAAAAACCCTTCAATCAAAACCAAAAACCCCCCAAAATCCCAACCAAAAAACCCTGAACCAACACCAAAAGGCCC